ATGTAAGATTCTAATAAAACTTGGTCTGTTACTTCATTATGATGTAAGGAAAGTAGTGTCGAGGGCAAGAGGGATACTCTGCCTCTTCTTTAATTTCCAGCAATTTTTATCAATAAAGATTGATTTTTTGAAATGTGAAAAATTATCTTTATTTCTAGCCAACAGATTCTAATAAAACTTGGTCTGTAACTTAATTATGATCTAAGGAAAAAGTAGTGTCGAGGACAAGAGGGATACTCTGCTTCTTCTTTAATTTCCAACAATTTTTATCAATAAAGATTGACGTTTTGAAAATTATATCTTTATTTCTTGCCAACAGATTAATTATTAATTACAAACTAAATTAAAATAACATAAATATATAATAGTACAAAGAATAAGGATAAATAATACTTAAGAAAAAGAAAAATAGATAAAAACCGGATAAAAAAAAATATTTTTTCGTAAAACAAAAATACAAATATGACTTCAGCAGCGAAATATTATAAGATTGATGAATGAAGAAAAAAAGGTTTTGTTATCTAAATTTTATGGATTTCTAGCTTATACCGACGGGGTTACAACCCAAAAAATCATAAGAACTATTGAGTAGTTAATAAAAATCGCAGTAAAAACCAAAAAAAAAACGAGTTTCCTTCGTGCCAACTTTCTCCCTTCCTTCTTGCATCATAACATAGTTCTGAATCAAATTTTATTAATATCTGATGGTAAGGAACAAAGTTATGACTTTTTTCATGGTCAAAAGTTGCTATTAATTAATAAAAATTATTAGAAAAAATGGAAGTGATCGAGTATCCCTTTTATAACTTTGTCATCACTCGTGTTGCATCATAACATAGTTCTGAATTGAATTTTATTGATATCTGACAGTAAAGAACAAAGTTATGACTTTTTTCATGGTCAAAAGTGGCTTTTAATTAATAAAAAGTATTAGAAAAAATGGAAGTGATCGAGTATCCCTTTTGTAACTTTGTCATTACTCGTATTGCATCATAACATAGTTCTGAATTGAATTTTAATGATATCTGATGGTAAGGAACAAAGTTATGACTTTTTTCATGGTCAAAAGTGGCTTTTAATTAATAAAAAGTATTAGAAAAAATGGAAGTGATCGAGTATCCCTTTTGTAACTTTGTCATTACTCGTAATTGCATCATAACATAGTTCTGAATTGAATTTTATTGATATCTGATGGTAAGGAACAAAGTTATGACTTTTTTCATGGTCAAAAGTGGCTTTTAATTAATAAAAATTATTAGAAAAAATGGAAGTGATCGAGTATCCCTTTTGTAACTTTGTCATCGCTATGATTGCATCATAACATAGTTCTGAATGAAATTTTATTAATATCTGATGATAAGGAACAAAGTTGTGACTTTTTTCATGGTCAAAAGTGGCTTTTAATTAATGAAAATTATTAGAAAAAATGGAAGGAATCGAGTATCCCTTTTGTAACTTTGTCAACACTATAATTGCATCATAACATAGTTCTGAATTGAATTTTATTAATATCTGATGGTAAGGAACAAAGTTATGACTTTTTCATGGTCAAAAGTGGCTTTTAATTAATGAAAATTATTAGAAAAAATGGAAGGAATCGAGTATCCCTTTTGTAACTTTGTCAACACTATAATTGCATCATAACATAGTTCTGAATTGAATTTTATTAATATCTGATGGTAAGGAACAAAGTTATGACTTTTTCATGGTCAAAAGTGGCTTTTAATTAATAAAAATTATCAGAGAAAATGGAAGGAATCGAGTATCCCTTTTGTAACTTTGTCAACACTATAATTGCATCATAACATAGTTCTGGATTAAATTTTATTAATATCTGATGGTAAGGAACAAAGTTATGACTTTTTTCATGGTCAAAAGTGGCTTTTAATTAATAAAAATTATCAGAGAAAATGGAAGGAATCGAGTATCCCTTTTGTAACTTTGTCAACACTATAATTGCATCATAACATAGTTCTGAATTGAATTTTATTAATATCTGATGATAAGGAACAAAGTTATGACTTTTTCATGGTCAAAAGTGGCTTTTAATTAATAAAAATTATCAGAAAAAATGGAAGGAATCGAGTATCCCTTTTGTAACTTTGTCAACACTATAATTGCATCATAACATAGTTCTGAATTAAATTTTATTAATATCTGATGTTAAGTAACAAAGTTATGATTTTTTTCATGGTCAAAAGTGGCTTTTAATTAATAAAAATTATCAGAAAAAATGGAAGGAATCGAGTATCCCTTTTGTAACTTTGTCAACACTATAATTGCATCATAACATAGTTCTGAATTAAATTTTATTAATATCTGATGGTAAGGAACAAAGTTATGACTTTTCATGGTCAAAAGTGGCTTTTAATTAATGAAAATTATTAGAAAAATGGAAGGAATCGAGTATCCCTTTTGTAACTTTGTCAACACTATAATTGCATCATAACATAGTTCTGAATTGAATTTTATTAATATCTGATGATAAGGAACAAAGTTATGACTTTTTTCTCAACACTATAATTGCATCATAACATAGTTCTGAATCAAATTTTATTAATATCTGATGGTAAGGAACAAAGTTACGACTTCTTACATCTCAAAACCATGTCTTTGAATAAAATTTGTTGCATAAATTTGGAGATGAATGGGTCTCTTTTGTTTATAATTTTTTATGCTCATCTTCTCTTTATTATCCACTTTGTAAGTAGTTATTCATACTTTAAATTTTATCGGGGGCGCGGGCCCCACTCCGCGTGTCGTCCCTGGCCTTGATCACCGCGTAGCTGCTAGTTTCAGCTTCCGAATTTAGAAGAATAATTATTGAGAAAATATTTAAATTGGTCTAATTTAGATAAAATGCTGCGACAATTCCAATAACAAATGTGAAATTCATTAATACCAGTCCATAAAATTAGGAATTAAAATTGGAAATAAGAGTTTCTTTTATGAGTTTTGATGAGATAGTGTTACCTGAATGAGCATCTTTCTTATTTACAGCGATGTCTACAAGTGTTTTTGTTAATACATTTAGCACATCATCTGAGTTAAGAATATCTGTAAATAACAATCTTTTCTGTGGTGCATTAAGTAGCTTCAAGTGATGTTTTGGTGTAGGAGTATCCGATCTTGGTATATCTGAAGATACTGTCTGAACTTTAGAGGTGACTGTAGCATAAGTTTGTTTGCCACTAATTCGATCTTTCAGTTCTTGATTTTTGGCTGATTTAATAGGGCAAGTGTTGCTGATAGCCATGTGAGCACCATTGCAATTGATGCATTTTAGTATGTCTTTATTGGTGCATTCTTTAAAGAAGTGATTCCCAGAACATATAGAGCATACTTGAGAGCTTCTGCAGGATCCACGGCTGTGTCCAAATTTGTAACAGACAAAACACTGGCGCACAGGTTTGATATATTCCTTTACATCAAACCACATAAAATCATAAGTCACATGATCAGGACGAGTTGAGCTCAGAAATGTAACAAGCACTGTTGGTGTAGGGGAGAATGATCCATCCTGATTCTTCCTCATGAAGCGTTTCACACCTATTACTTCATAATTAGATTTTATATTTGTTAATAAATCTTCCTCTTTAATTTCTTGTGGTACTTTTATTATTCCTAGACTTTCCAGACGATCATAGGGAATTTTTGCTTGCCAATCATGTTTTTCTAATAAAGTTTTATCTAAAAGAAATGCATTTGCATCTTTTTTTGTGGAAAAATAAGCTTTGAAAAGGAAATTGCCAATGCGTTTTACATACATCAGACCAGTACAAGATTTTAATATGTTATTTATCTTCATTAAATCAAGTTTTGTGTTGGGAGAGGATGAAGATATTAATAATGGATATTCTTTTTTGCAATCTTCTATGTACTTATGGACATAGTCTTTGAAAACGCCTCTTTTATTTGTAATAAAATTTGCCGCCATCTTAATCGGTGGTGGACAGTCTTCTCCGCCTATTAATTTTCTTTTGTATGCAGGCCTGCCGCCACTCTCTTTGTTCATAATTATGAAATCGTTTATTAATCAGTTTACATATACGTACAGATAGGAATAAAAATTTATTGAGCTAAAAAGGGCTTGTGAAGGAATAGTTTTTAATTTTATTTCAAATATCCCGCCTAACACTTTGAATGTTCGTGCCCTTTTCCGCCTAACTATCGACTGACTGACACTTTGACTACAGGTTATAATTCTGACCACAGACCAATAAGCGAACTATAAGTTGACTTTAATAGGGATGTTACGATATATTGGAAAACCGATATATATCGACGCCCAAAAATTTCATTGTCGAACAACGAACGATATCAATAACGAAAAAATAATCACCGAAGCATGATATCGAATAAAATCTAAAGGGTAAATGCACAGCAGTTGTCAAAATTTTGCCTAATTATTTTGTAAATCTGATTTTTAGCTTTGAAATTTGCAGTAATTTTTTATTATTATAATTTTTCTTAATTTTGAAAAAAATGTGTTCCGATTCTAATCGCAATCTATTTAAAGTGACAATAGACATGTTGCCATTGAGTTCAGAAGCATACCTTACGAACGCCTTTCTTTAAAAGTAGCACGCATAGTATAACAACATTACACGAAGGATTAATAGGTTTCATGGAAGTTGAGGAAGAATCTGAAGGAGGAAGAGGAGGAATTTTCAATGAGGAAGTATTAAAAAAAAAACACCTCCTTAGATGGCGACCCTAGCAAATGTTGCAGGAAACGAATGGTCCAACGTTAGTCATTTTCATTCCTTTTAACACACATATTAAAAAACTGAAATTTGCAAAGTTCAAAACTTATATATTAATACAAATACGAAAACGCACAAAAAGAATATAAGTGGTTTATTGAGTTTTGAAGATTTATTTACTTTTATCATGAAAGAAAACCGAAAGGACTGTCAATGAGAAATCAAGAAAGTACCGTAGTGACACCTAGTTTGATTTGGGAACTAATACTAATGTTTTTATTAATACTTTCTCATTAATTTAAGATCGAAAAATATATTGATATCGACTGTAACCTAGTATAACGAGTTCGATGCTTAAGCAAATGAAAGGCTGACTAAGGGTGTTAATGTGATTTATTTTATAACTAGTGTAAATAAAAAACTAAAAACAAACGAAAAGAATATAAAATAACAGTCCGTATGGATTTCTAAAATTATAGTAAGTTCTTGAGTAAAAAAGTTACAATTTTCTTTACTGATTTGTGATACATGAAAATAACAGCTTGAGCAAAAATTGACAATATTTCTAATTACAGATATTTACTATTATATCAAAATTTATTGTTGATACCTGTTATGTTACTTGATTAAGTAACTATATTTTTATTGACAATATTTATTATTACAATTTTGATTCGATCGACCTTATACCATTAACACCAGGTTTAAATGACAATAAGTAACGATAAGAAAAAAAAAATTGCAATTTTATGCTTAAGATTTATTTTGCATTCTTTTTTTCTTGAATAAACTTGTAGGTTTGGCGCCTAAACAGCTTTCCCTTTTGACATTTGCGTCTACTCTCTCAATAACATCTTTGATAACTATTACATTACCATTATCATCTACATCATTATTACTCTCTTTTTCTTGTGTATCCAGTATAATGGGTTGTTTTAAATCATGATATTTCTTGCTTTTTTTTAATATAGAGGGTTTTTCTTCACTGAGCAGACTTTTAAATGCAACATAAACATCACTGGGCTTTTGTATACCGTCTTCTGGATTATATGGCTCCGAAGATGGTGGTATCTCACTATGTTTAAATGTTATTTCTAAAGTTTCACTGTCATTTTCATCAGCGAAAATTACACTACGTTTTATTTGTTGAGCAGGCACTTTTTCAAAACTATGTTCAACATATTCTCCACCTTCATTCTGAATAATATCATCTAACCTAAAAAAAACAACTCAAATATCAAAAATAAATTAATTAATGTATATGATGCACATAATGGTATTTATATTTTATCTATAATATACTTATAAAGCTAATTTCAACTTTATTTATGTATAACAAAATGTTCTTATACCTATCCATTTCATCTTCAAGTTCTTCAATTTGTTCCATTTCATCAAGTTTCGAAATCAAGTTGTGTTCAGTTATTTTAATACTTTTTTCTCTGTCTTTAATTTGTTCTAACCTTTCTCCTAATTTATTCTGTCTTTCAAGAACTTGTTGTAGTAAGTCTAATTTAGTCAAGGTGGCAGACATCTCTTTATTTAAACTTTTATCACTTGATTCATTATTGACACCTAGTTTAAAGTCTTCAGATGAATTATCAAAGTTATTATTTTCTTGTTTTGCATTCCATGTATAGGGCAGTAAATTATTATTAATTACAGACTTTGGACTATTATCCATATTTATATCAGTGCTATTATTTTTCTCTAATTCACCTTCTAATTCTTCTTTTAATTCTAATTCCTCTAGTTTGTTCCACAGTTCTTCATCTGTGATATTGTCTTGAAATTTATTGTTATCTTTTGATTGCTCTTTATAATGTTTCATATTTTCTCTGTGTTTCTCTCTCCATATTTTATCTTCTTCTTCAGTATATTCCTCAATAATTTCTTGACCAACAGAGTTATACATATTTTGTTTAGTAAAAGATATTTGACTTTCTAGATATTCTTTTTCTTTATAGTATGAATCTAGTTTTGACTGTGCATCTAAAAAAATAAAACCATAGTAGTTAAAACATATCAGCTAACTGAACATCTGTACCAATATTATCAAGAGGAAAAATTTGTTTGTTCGTTTGCATTGAATAAGTCCCGAAGCCACTAGACCGTTTTTAAAATTCTTTCACCTACAGGAACTACATCAAAAGTGGGTGACATAAGATAAAGAAAAGCGGCTAGTAAAGAAAAACTGAATAAATTAAGCAAACAAATATGCCATAAAAAACAGAGAAGGTAGAATAAAATCAGCATGTAGTTTACATGTTTAGCAGTTTCTTATCATTTAGATACTTTTAACAAACTATGAAATGTTACTATAATGGAAAATATTTAAACCTTTGATTCTGTGATGCCTAAGAATTTCTGCTTGCTTTATTGAACATTTCACAAAATAACCTGCTCCCATAGCTACAGTTACTTCATTGGTATGTTTCAAGTGACCACGAAACAATATTTTGCTTCCAACAGGTACCATAACGGGAACAGTTAACTGTTCCGAAAATAGTGAGAAGTCAAGAGTCTGTAGGTTTTTTAGATATTCTTCCCAGAAATATAAACTTCTCTCATTCTCCGAAACAGCCTGCAACAATAATATAACAATTTATGATTTATTATTGTTATAATATTTGTTATAGAAAGCATTTTAAGAAATAAATTAATCAGCTTGAAATATAAAATCACCTTTCCATAAATCGAATTGATAAAATCCATATTAATTTATAGTTAAATAAAATAAAATTGATAATAGTTGTCACAAGTTTGACTTAAATAATTTAACGAAATATATTATGTATTTAAATAAGGTGTCTCGAGTTGTTTGTAGGGTTTAAAGTAAAAGGTAAGGAAACAGTCTCATTAAATAGAAAACATATAACACAAGCACGCTATTAAATTTAAAATTTGGATGACATTTGATAATTGAATGACAACTTGATATGCAAATTTTTCTTTATTTTTAATAAAGTTTAAGGGATGTAGCATATACAGTCTATCTCGAAATTTTGTATCTATATTTCTAAATCTCCTGATCGACTGTCAGAGTGGTAGCAAAAAAAAGACTTATTTTTTATTATACGAGGAGTTTGTCTTGCCCGATATACATATTTAAATAAGAATATAAAAACACGTGTATAAGCGCGTGCTTGAAATAAAATACATTCCAAAAAAAATATGTAGGTATTATTAGATCAGGCAAGGGTGGACAGGTATATAAGTTCGGATATCTTATGTTTCTGTATACCATTATAATAAATACAACACTACACGTTACAACAAAATGTCAAATTTGTGCAATTGATTTTTAGTTTATCTGCTATAGTAATAAGTCTTAAAATTATTTGTATATATTTGACAACATGGAACTTGACATGGTGTTGTTATTTTTTTATCTCACCTTCGTTGTCGATCGATGACGATGATGTCGTGCACAGTTTTGGTAATATTATATTTCTCTATGTGCACAGTACAGATCACTAAATATTTCCCGTATTATTACTACTCTTTGACTAAATATGTAGCAAGTTAATGCCGTCTGTCGTATGTACAAAAGAAAAAGTAAATAAATAAAATATTTTATCTGCCTAAAAGCTATTAGATTCACGATATTCGTAAACCATCGTTTAAATTAAAAGTAATGGAAGAGAAAAAATCAATTTTACACGAGTTATATGTGTTTTCAGAATGGAAACCAGAACCAGAATATTTGGTAAGTTTAAAACAGTAGACACTGCGTGTTTATTGCAGATTCGTTTTATCAAAATTTAAATAATTCCACAAAATAATTTGTTAACTTATTTTTCAGCAAAAGCCAGATAGTATTTTTCCAGAAACTATTTCAGCACTGTGGAGGTGGCTTAAATTTTTTGGTGCTAAGAAAAGTTTAATTGATAGTATAGCAGCGTGAGTGTAAACTTTTTATTAGTTAAAGCGTTGATTAAAATCATCAATCTGAAATTAATTATAAACATTGAACTTTTTATTTTTATTAATTAATGTCAGGCAAACATCGCAAGTACTTTCCTTCTCTCATCTTGTTATATGTGATTTTTGCGCACTCATCGATCCAAGCCAAAATAAATTATTTAAGTTTGTTTTAAATATCTACATCAGAAAACTTAAACTTTTACAATAATTTATATTTTCTTATACTACAAGTTTTATTTCTTATGTTTATTAATTTAATGATAAAATCTAAATAGAAAACTAACTAATCTTATTTTTTAAATTTGTTGTAAGCATGCACTTTAACTCAATTGACTTTAACTCAAAATAAACTGATAAGAGCATTGTATTAATAATAATGTTAAAAATATAACAAATAAAAAAAAAAAACTTGAAGTAAAAAAATAATAACTAGGGGGATATAAGTGAATTATTTTCCATGCCACTATTTTTGTGATGGATACTGATTTATGTTATTTTAGAAAATATTTTTGGTTATAAATTACAGTCACAAAGAGCGACAACAGAAATGGCACATAGCCCTTGGAGATGAGGGTAAAGTAATTGCAGTCCTAACTGATAACATTCTTGAGATTAGGACTAAAAGATCAGAATATGCAACTATAGCAGCCAGAACAACAGGTTAGTTATTACAACTTTTGCACTTGTATAAAAAGTTATTATTTGGTGTTAAATTCTGTTGGGAATAATAATGTATTAAATTACTTTTAATACAGTAAGCCGTGATCCATATTCTCAATGGCGGAAGTTAGTGTGGAGTCCAGATTGTTCTTTCATAGTTGTAGCATATGGAAATGGCATAGTTAGCTTCTTCGATCTCACTGCTTCAAATCTCTTCAATATTCCAGCTGTAAGTATTAATATTATATTGTGACTCATGTGTAGGTAAAGATGAAATAACTCTTACTGAAGTCTCTAAAGTCATTTCTTTCAAAAGTTGTTTCCTGTACTAAAAATAAATATCCCACTAAAACATAGTGTATTAATATTTTTATATGACAAATTATTTTACTATTGGCTACTTGTCAGTTATACCAATAGATTATATTTTGGAAATGGTAACTTGTATGTCAACAATAACTATGTAGTATTTATTGCTTTAAAATAAATTGTGAGTATATTTTAATTTTGCAAAATTAACTTATGATTAATAATCTGTGGATTACAAGAACTAAAATGCAGGCGGTCATTATGGAGCATCATGTGATGTAAATAAACCAAATTTTAATGTCTTTGTGGGAATGTAGCTAGTATTCAGTTCATTGAAATGTAATTTCATGGATTGAAATATCACACAATGGATTTTTTTGTAGAAAAATTTTAATTAATGAAAAACTTTACATTTTCCCTTTATTAATAATACATTTTGGAGAAAAATAAATCTGATAGTGGTTTAATATGATAATATGAAAGTTTTAAAATGTTTTTTCCATATAGGATTGCTCCAGACCAGGAGGCTTAGAATGTACAGATAATACCCATGCTGTTGCTGATATAATTTTCATGCCACTCAGAACAAAGGACACAAAATGGTATATGCTTAGTAAAATTTTTGTGTATTGTTTTATTTATTTACTTGTCTTGCTTGTTTTAATTTAAATTTATTATTTAGCCAATCCTTTATCATCACTTAGTTTCCTGTTCCATTTTTAATTTGCCTCCCATTAACAGAGGTCTAATTTGCATATAAAGGTTTGAATTGCTATATATTTAAAGTTGTTCAAATTTCATGTTTTTAAATATTAAATTTAATATCACAAAATTTTAAATTCACTTGTCACACTTCATTGATTCCCTCCTCCATCCCATTAATTATTACAACTAGTAACAATTCAAGCCTGAACAATAACGCCAATCTCTGCCTTGATGAAATTTTGTAGACATTAGGCATGATAGACTATCACATTATCTTTAACTGTCATTTCTTCAATCAATTTCAAACCTTATTTTTATAGAATTTTTGTTTAACGTTGATTATAGAATTGTAACATGTTATTGTCCTGATCTCTAAATAATGATAAATAAACTTAAAAAATGTATGCAGAATGATATGTTTTATGCATGTATACAGGAACTGGGAAGTGTTAGTTGTGACATATGACGGCAAACTGCGTGGCTACCTAGTGTCACAAACGGAAGGTTTTAAACTTCATCATTCTTTCCACTTCCCGGGCGGCACAGGAGCGCTCTGCTACTGTGCACCACACTCTATGCTTTTGGTTGCTGGTGTGCCGAGGTCTGGTAGCAAGGTGATGAATTGTTACAAAAATCTATATATTTTAAATTTAGTACATTAAGTGGAGTTAAATTAAGAAATAAGATTACACTATACTTTTAAGGACAACATATTGTTAATTGAATTAAATATGAGGAATATTTAGGCACTATCCAAATTTATTTTGAGGTATTAAGTATCCTTCATAGAGCCCATCTTTTGAAAAATTAGTAGTCAGTTCTCATTTTGAAATATTTTTTCTGATAGCATTTTCAATTTAGTATTGGTCACCAGTCGTAAATGCTTACGCTAAATGTATGAATTAATGAACAAATTTACGTGACGCGGTAGCAGTGGCGGGCGGAGGTCCTCCCGTCCGGCTTGCGAGTCCTATCAGCCTATCACTGAATGGCACTAAAGCAACTAAAACAATTCCATCACGAGCTACTATTCTGCAGTGATCTCTCTCTTGTTTATGATGTCATAATAGCGCAATTGGATAGGCTCCGCCCCTCGTTCATTGTCGCTAACAATATGTAAAACGAAGTCCTAAAAATCTTGTTTGCATATTGCATTCGTATTTACAAATCAAGAACGTCTTCTGCCAGAATAGCAGCAGCAGCACTATTCAAAGTTTCAAAAATTAATGTCTTTGCCTAAATAGATATAAAATATGCGTATAAATCATTTTCAGGATCCATCGTCACCGTTAAGTGCGGGCATCACTGCATGGCGTATTCTGAACGACGATCCATTCTATAAACTCAGCGTAGTGTCAGACCAGTTGGAGACGCAGTTGGCTAATGAAAGATTCCATCTTTACATACCGTTTGTGTCTTCAAAGAATATGGTTATTAAATTTAATATTTAACACTAAATGGCGTTAACATATTCGAAATTGCTTGAAAAATATCTGAAACGGGGGTATAATGGAAAAAAATAATATGTTTTCGAATGCTTGCTTGAGGCTTAATTTGAGTTGCAAAAATATAAAGGCCACCTTTTGCATTCTTGTGGTGGACTAACTCTATAGTGCTGGTTTTGCAATTATAAAAGTGTTTACAATACATTGTACATTCTAACGCTTTTCTAAAACTTTTTGTTGACCTAAATAAACAAAAAGATAATACATATATTTGAAAATATACGTGAAAATATAACAAACAATTAGTATTTTTAAATTTTCCACCTATCGAATTTATAATTTCGTCTGATCGCATATTTCCAGGCCTTCGTGGTACGCATGGTGTTGTCCCCCGATGCGACCAAACTGGTATGTCTCCATTGCAACGGCGATATATCTGTGTGGCGGCTGCCCCTGTTGAAGTTGCTGTATCGACATCCGCTAGTCGCTCAGTCACAACATGACTTGAACAATCCTCTCGTTGACGAACAGAAGCTGACTAAGTACGATCCCTCTGCCTTCTATGCGGCTGACGTCAACTGGTGGAGCAATGAGGTATAGACATCATTATATAGTAGTACCTATGATCTATTTGAGTAACTATTATTATTTTATCTAATAAATTGACTTAAACTACTTTTATACAAATCGGAAGCATTTACCTCCTGATGGTAAATGTAGCTAGAATTAAACTTTGGAATAATACATTTTCAACGATGTCTTCAAAAGTTATTTGTTGAAGATATAATACAATTTTTATTTTTATATATTGCAGGAAATAATTTTGTCACGATTTAGTGGTGCGGTCACAGTTTGCTCTATAATGGACATGGTCAACTTATTGGGAAAGAAACCAGAATTCTTTCAAGGGACACCTCAAGTCAGTCTCTAGAACAATAACTTTCACTTATCCTTGTATCTTTATAGAGATTAATTTTCAATATAATTTTCATTTTATTGAACAGGTAACCTGCGCTTACGAGGGAGCGTTTATGGCACTCGAATGTGAATCTAATATACTGCCCGCAAAGAAATCTAGAAGTGATGAAAGTGTAAGTATGCTCTATAAGCCGGCCAGCTTATATATCTCGGTAATGGCCCACTATTTTGTCTACACTTAATAGTGAAGGTAAAGAAAATCGTTTAATATGGATGTAGACAACTTTTTTTTATAAAAATAAAATATATAGATATCTTTAAAAAAATGTTTTAAAAAGTATCATTCATCTATTAAATTTAAATCTAAAAATAAAATTAATTTGCAAAAATTCCCGCGAAAACGACTTCTGCCATGGCGACTTTATCGTCACCGCACTCTAAAACGAATATCATTCTACGTATGCATAAGGTTGAATTCTCTAAGTTCTGATATGAGTGAGAGGGTCGTGACGTCACGCGCTGTTTGCGGTCACGTGACAACGAGTATAAAATATTTGTTTTTTCATAACTAGTTTAAGCAATATTAATAATATAATAAGCATAATTGTGATTATCGGTTATAATATATTAAACACTACTTTTACGGTCTACATCCGTATCAGATGGAAGTGGTGAAAGCGGAAGCGGACGTAGAAGATTCCTTGCTAGATACGAGCAAGGAGTTGTTGAAATGCATTCTTTATGCTATAACGGACATGGAGACGTTCCAGCCGCGGCCGCGACGCATCACCGTCGTGTCGCGCATATATCGGCTATTGGGTGTTAAGAGTACCACGCCCACTGAACTATTCTCTAGGAAGGTATGTGTTTCCAATAAGTTCACGGCGATATTTAGAATCGGAGAAGGTATTTTATTTAAATTTAAATTATTTTATTTATTTAAATTAATTACATTACATTACATCATTATCAAATTACATTACATTATATCAAATTACATCACGTTTATGTCCCGTAAATTGCTGATGCGCTGGAACCTTGTCTAAATAACACCCGCGTGACGTCATTTAAAAATATAAAGTATAGATAGCACAAACTGAAAGTGATAAAATATATTTAATTATTGAAATAATGTAATCCCCAAAATACTGTTCAAATAATTTAATAACTTTTAGTTTGTTAATTTATTACATAAATTTTTGGAAAAGGTGCTATTTTAGTCAACCATAACAAGTAACAACAAAACTTAACAAAAATAATCGAAAACAACAAAAACATAACCAAAGTTGTGTGTGATCTTAACACGACCCAACTCAATAAGAGTACTCGTCAACCAGTGTTTATTTGTTAACACACCACTCAGGCGCATTAGCAATTTGCGGGGATAATAGAACTGTTTCGAGTTGATTTTAAAAGTGTATGTTAATATGGATAAGCCTCCGAGGTAGTAGCTATATTTTGTTTCACAAAAAAAATATTGAAACTTTTCTATACTACGATGACAGGACTGTTTATTCAAAGGAATTAATACTAGCATATTTATTAAATATTTTGTGTTCGGTGAACATTTTAGATCGAGAGCGGCAATTATAGTGAGGCACTGACGTTGGCAGAAACATTTGGGTTAGACAGTGACCGAGTATATCAACAACAGTGGCGCAAGAATCCTGTCTCTACTGATGCCATCGAACGATACTTGGTTCGTGTAATTAAGATATTTTATTAAGTTTTACATAAACCAATTATTGATAATTATAATATCTTATTGCTGTTACAGAATACTATCGGACTGTGATAAAGTGTAAAAATCTCTAATAAGAGTATTATTCTTCTTTATGTTTGCCGTAGTTGAACAATATGTTTACTTATCTACTTTAATGCTGTAACACACTTTTAATCATTGAATTCTACTAGTTACAAATAAAGTTGATATTATTTAAGTGCTCCCTATTACATTGATCCCATCCATAGGGACGGCTCGTGCCCGTGTACGTGTACGTGTACATCGTCAGTTTATTTATTATCCACGACATAAATAAACTGACGATGTACACGTACAAGTACTCCATAAAATTTAGAAACTTTATTAGATATTTGGTCAGTTGCACAAACTTCGATTAAGGTTTAATGACGCCGTTAAGCTGTAATGAATTAGGGGTAATGTTGCTTTAAACTAATGATAACTTTAATGGCCGTTTGTGCAAATTATAATTAGTCCATGATTACTATTTACGGTAAAGACTCACTTTGTACGATCAATTTTAATTGGAGGGCCAAATCTAAGGAGCGTATTGAAAAGAAGAATGAAGGTCAAATAATCGAACCCAGGCTTATGTCTTAATTGATTTGGCAAATTAATAAATTTAAGTTTATTTCATGTATGTGTATATGATATTCTAACAGAGTAAAGTGTCTAAGAAGATATGGGCGGTCCACCAGTGCGTGGACCGGTTACCGGAGAGTTTGCCCGCGGCTAAAGAACTCCTGCAGTTTGGACTACAACTCACCAACGAGAGAATACTAGACGGTACGGACACTATCATTATAATTATATAGTATATGGAGCTCAATATTTTTACAGTAAATTACAACTGATGTGGCTGAGTAATATACCTTGCGCAGAGGACTAAATTTCGAAGCGCGGCAAATATCGTCAAGTGTGCGTGAGATGGACTAATACGTTGTATTTTAGACCTTATGGTTATTGATACAAGATTTGGTAGGTCTGCGCTGCGCAAACGAAGAATCACCATTTCAAAATTCAAGATTTAAAAAAAATGTGACGTTTATTGACCTAGTGGTGTTTCTGTGAGAGTAGCACAAATTGGTTTAAGCGTTTTCTGCCCGGAAATGTTTGATTTTAAAGATGCACATCGCTCCGGTCGCCTGGTTATGGATAAATGGATGCCACTTGCTCACTGAAAGAACCCTAATGAACCGTGTACTCATTTCTGTTTCTTTATTACGGCATAATGAAACCGAATAATTTTTGAAGAAGCTGATAACTGGTGATGGAAAGTAAAGTATCACGTACGAGTGAGTGTATGGTGGGATTGGAAGGAAATTATTCATTATGAGCTGTTACCGCCGGTATTCATTACAATCTGAATTCTACTGCGAACAACTGATGAGATTAAAGCACGAAGTTGAGAGAAAGCGGCCAGAATTAGTCTGTGAAGAAGAAAGAAACATTTCGAGTCGTTCTTATGTTTTTTTTAGAATCATATCAGTGCAAGTTATCTATGCATCAGAGGCAGTGTCAGGTTGCATCATAAATTATCGAAATGTTCCTTATCTCAATATTTTGCAATCTTTTACACAAATAACATCATATATTTGACTACATAGTTTTATGAATGTTTAACTATATTAATTTGTCTGTATATTGTAGAAATTAACAAAGATCGTAAGGAAGGTGAGGTGAAGGACCCCGACGATATCACGCTGGAAGATCTCAATGCGTACACGAGTGAACTGCTCCGTTGCAGACATGTGATGCTGTTCTATAAGGAGAGGCTCCGGCTCTATGAAGTTAGTATCAATTTGCATGTTTAAAAGTAGTAAAGTAGTCGACCTGTTTTTGAAAGCCGTAAACAACGTTTTTTTTTTATAAAAGGCTACTTTTTGCATACTCGTTCTATTATCTATCATTTGAACCACTATGCGATATAATCCTCGCAAATTGCTTAATACTGACCGCCATTTCAAAAAACAGTACCGTTAACAAATAAACGTTGGTTGAAGAGTACACTTATTGAATTGAGTTTGGTTGTGTTGAGATCACACATCAATGTTGTTGTTTTTGTCAGATTCGATAGTTATTGTTAAGTTTTGTTGTTACTTGTTATGTTTGACTAAAATAGCAACTGCTGTTATTATTTTCACATTAAGTGTACATAATTTAACTAATAATAAATATATCTAATGTCTCTCATTTCATTATTACTTTTGGTTTTGTTTTAACAAATATCCGTTCCGTTTGATATCTCGTTATTACAAAGTAATTGTTATTTTTTCATATTATTTAAATTTTCCATATGTGATAAATGGATATTAATAAATAAAATGATTCTTTTTCAAAAATGCATGCAATAAATTAACAAACAAAAGTTATTAAGTTAAGTTAAGCCGTTGGGGCGGTAAGGTCCTGGAGTGGCGACCGCGTACCGGGAGACGCAGTGTTGGCAGGCCCCCCACAAGGTGGACCGACGATCTGGTGAAGGTCGCGGGAAGCCGCTGGATGCGGGAAGCGCAGGACCGATCGTTTGGGAGATCTTTGGGGGAGGCCTATGCCCAGCAGTGGGCGTCTCTCGGTTGAAGTGATGATGATGATGATGATGATGATGATGCTTTCTATTATGTCATATGACACCACGCGGGTGTTATTTAGACAAGGTTCCAGCACATGAGCAATTTACAGGACTTATATGAAAGTATACTTTCAGGCAATACTAAGATGTGAGAAGTCAACATATGAGAAGGACGAATATGACCGCTTACGCAGCAACAGTATCGTACACAGTTCCATGGAAATAGCAAAGGAAGGTCGCATAGAAGCGCTGACTTGTCTCTGGCCGAACATAAAGACTGTTGCGATGCAACTTGCAGTATTAGAAAATCTACCAGAGACAATAAACCCACTAGATTACCAGCATCTGCTGCCCACCGAGCATCCCTTCCAGGAGTGGTTCGAGAAGAAATCGCCGATTAAGATCAAACCATCTGTACACGAACACGATTGGTGCAGGAAAGAGATATTCAGGTAAATATGAAACTTTTAAGGGCCAATATGTTTGTGTTTTAAATATTTGAAATTTGATACCTTCTGGCCTCAAACACAATATAAAATCACTACGCCTCCAAGTCGTTCCGAATTTTGCTTGCAGTTAGCGCTCTTGTCGTCTCCAGATGACTGAATCACTGAATGCCGAGATGGTCAGTCCGCGGTATATTTATAGGGGCCGAGGTCGAACCTAGAAGCTTCTACTCTCCTAGACTTGTTGTTACAATGTCAAGTCGATACAAATTACTTAACCGCCATTTAGTCACGTCTAGATGAAATCAACCTTGTGGTATCACGAAGGACAAATGAACCTTAACTGAAAGGTGACTGTACAATGGAATTGGCTTATTATTAATGTTCAGCGTGACAATTTCATCAGCTGTCACCTGAAACATTAAAAAAAGATGTTTGTTTTCTTTAAATGAGGAAGTATTTAAAAAAAAACGATAGCACTAAAAAAACTCATCCACTAGATGGCGACTCTAGCAAAAGTTGATTTTTGCAGGAAACGAATGGACCAAAGACAGTCATTTCCGTTCCTTTTAAGTAACATATTAAAAAACTGAAATTCGAAAAGTTCGTAACTTAGATATCAATACAAATACGAAAAAGTACAAATAGAATATGAGTTGTTTATTGAGTTTTGAAAACTAATTAACTTTTAAACATAAAAGAAAACCGGAAGGTTTGTCATGGAGAAATCAAGAAATGACCGTAGCGACATTTATTTTCATTTCGAGGACTACTTTTTTAAATACTTCCTCATTGTATGTTTTCGATTGACGCATACTTTTATCCCGTCGGCTAGGTCGATATGGAGCTCCAACTGGTCAGAGGAGACCACCCCCGAGACAGAGACGGCGAGCTGCGTGTCGGGCGCGGCGGACATATCGCAGTGGTACGAGAAGCGCGCTCGGCAGATAGAGGAGCGCAGCGGTCTCGCGTCCCACTCGCTCACACTGGTCACGCTCGCTTCACTCGGCGGCGGCGTGCGCGGACTGGACAATGCGATGTTCCACCTGCTCACGCTGGACACGTTACTGTACGACGTTAACGTGGAGGGCGTTACTCTGGCGCAACTGGAGAACATGACGCCGCTGGACACGTGCGCTTTGCTTATGCAAATGGTGACTATTATTTATTTACTAAACGACGGTTTTTTTATTTAAATAAAATAGATATTAAACAATATTATGCTTTGTGCTCGAAAAGTTTATAATACAAACAAAATATCACCTATATACTAATAATGATTATTACATATGTACCATCTAATCTATCAGTGATACAAAACAATATCTCTATATAAATCTAACAATTTATATGTTATTTAACCAACAGCTCACACACTATACGCTTATAAGTTTGTAATTTAGTAGTAAAGATGTCAATACAGTTTTTTTTTATATTCATCAAGAGAATGCCTTAAATATTATTTTTTTTGTGTAGTTAGTATTTGAAAGTGGAATATAAAAGTCATATTTAAGTAATATCATATTTTTATATTTTGCCATACTGAAAATTATTCTTAATACAAAATGCTTAAAAATCCACTCGGTCCCTGGCACCCTGAAATGGGAATCGAACCCACGACCTTTCGCAATCCGGGCGACTGCTCTAACCACTGAGCTACCCAGGACCTAACAGGACTGACGAATCTTTCAAGCACTTTTCGCTACTACAGAGCGTATTCTCGTATCAATGTTCAGGCATCGTTCAGGCGATAATATTTTTCACCGTTATCTTTATTTAGATACGTTTGAATAAGCGACGTTCGTCTCTCTTATAATTTGATGCTCTTGATGATATAAGTCGCAGTATGACTTAGTTAATAAGTATTATTTTTTTTATTAATTAGTAGAATCGTACAAATTGCAGACTTAATGTCTTTACACATCCTCTTTCAATCAATGGAAACTAAGAAATTAATATGAGCTCCACAAAAGTCATTAGATTATAAGTGGTTTTAGGTTTTTTAAGTATATAAAAACCTATAATATGAACCTCATTTGTACATCCTCTACCAATCAATGGAGACTAAGCATATAATAATATATGAGCTTCACGAAAGTCATTGGATTATAAGAGGTTTTTAGTTTTTTTAAGTACATAAAACCTATTATATGAACCTTATTTGTAGTATAAGTGTAACCTATCCTACAGTCGACGCCGGCGACGTTCGTATCCGATCTCAAGCAATTCGTGATTCCATTCCTGAAGCGGTATGAAAACCTGTCGAAACGCGCAGACGCTTGCCTCAGCGGCCTCACAGACTATCTGGAGAGTATCAGTGTCGACGATCTCTCATCTATATTGCTGGTAAGTGGTAGGCAAGTATTGGACGTGGTCAAACGGAAATGGTAATTAAATATACCGTGTAACATTCTCGATATTAACTCCAGGTTGATATTATTATGAGGTTAGAGCCTCCCGTTTTTCAAGTAATGGAGGTTGTATGAAATTCTATCAGTTACTCAGCAAACTAACTAGAAACGAACCCCGCCATGAAATTCACTTTCGAAATTGTTTTTCTGTCGCCATTATGTATGTGACAAACTGATATATTATGATTGTTTCCATTATTATTAAATGATTATGTTATCATTATAAGACCATAATATTTTTTGCTGTATCTATTTATAATGTATTGATCTGGTGATGACATGTTCTTTGTAAATGGCATTATTATTAGAGCTGGTGAGTTTCTTGCTCGTTCTTCTTATCAGCCATAAGACGTCCTGAACAAGTAGTAGGGAAAAATGTTGGACGATTCAAAAGTACTTTTAAGAAGTCTATTTGAATAAAGATTATTTTGACTTGACTTGATTTGACTTTGATTATTTAATCCTTGCAAGTGCGTACTTGTGAATAACAATTTTGATACTTTTGCGTATAATGTTTTAGGTATTACAATCGCCCAGCGAGTTCGAATTAGACGTCCGCACTCATTTGGAATTAGTAGAAAGATGCCTCTTCGCGCACAACGGCACTGATCAATTGGACAAAGCTTGTGATTTACTAGACACTATTTTGAAGGAAACGTAAGTTTATTTTTATGTTCTCGAAATGTATTATGAATTTAAAATAGAATTTATCGTTTACCAGATTCGCTATTTGAAATTAAAATCTTCCAATGAGGTAGTGTTAAAAAAAGAAATTAGTTCCCGAAATCAAACTAGATGTCGGTACGCTACGTTCTTGATTTCTTCATGAAAACCTTTCCGGTTTTCCTTCATATTTAAAAGTGAATTAGTTTTCAAAACTCAATTAACAACTCATATTCTATTTGTACTTTTTCGTATTTGTATTGATATCTAAGTTTCGAACTTTTCAAATTTCATACATTTTTAGTCTGCTTATTGCCTTGGCGATATCAATTGTATATTTTTAGAACCTTTTTCTCTTAATCATTAAAATACACTATTAGAAGAGGCTATCTTTAAGTGTCAGACGGCTAGTAGCACAAACGTTCATTAAAATTGTAATTATTTTATAGCGACATTACCGACACAAATTTGACATTCATTAGAGCTAACCCTTTGTCTCCCACGCGCTTGCATGCAAGCTCTAAAAAAAAAGTGTACCATGCGCTTGTATACAAGCTCGCGGTCAGAGGTTTAAAAAAACCTTTATCATTATTAAATTTAAAGGCTCAAGTGCCAGTGTCAGATTACCGATAACGGTATGGTGCTCAGACGCCGATTTATGACCGCGGTAAAGGAAGGAGCGTCATTAAACCTTATTTGGGCCAAGGGATGAATGAAAGACAACTTCATGCAGCTGAGATGAGAATGTTAAGAGGAATGTGTGGTGTTACGCGAATGGACAGAGTACGAAATGAGTATATTAGAGGAAGTTTGAAAGTGGCACCGGTAACCGAAAAGTTACGTGGAAACCGGTCGTCGTGGTATGGCCATGTTGTGCGAAAGGAGGAAGAAAATATTGTGAGAAAGGTTGTGAGCATGAACGTGGATGGCTATACAGGAAGAGGAAGACCAAAGAAACGATGGACGGATCGTGTGAAAGACGATATGGTGAGAAAGGAAGTTACTAATGAGATGACATCAGATAGGGAGATATGGAAGAAGAAGACATGCTGCGCCGACCCCAAATAAAATTGAGATAAGGGCAGGGGAATGATGATGGACGTGCAACTGACCGAGAGTATCGTAAACACGGCAGGGACGGTAGCATATCGGGCAGCGAGTTGGTCCGTCGCGTGTCCGAGCTGGAGAAGTTGGTGTCGGCGTGCAGCGTGGCGGGCGCGCGCGCGCTGCCGCTGCCGCTGCGCGAGCTGCGCGACATGCACGCGGACGACCGCCAGGCGCGCCTGCTGCTCACCAGGATAGCGCGCGCCACTGCCACGCGGTCAGTACTGGGACGGGCTCGCTGCTTGGGCCGATTGATGAAAAGAGCCACGCTTCGGCATGAATGGGCCGACTCGACCGGAGTGATACCACGGCCTCACAGAAAACCGACGTGAAGCAACGCTTGCGTTGTGTTTCGTCGTGTGAGTGACGGTACCGGAGGCCCAAACCCTCCCTATTCCCATCCCTCTACCCCTCAAACCTTGCCTCCAAGGCCGGCAGCGCACTTGTAGCCCCTCTGGTGATGCAGGTGTCCATGGGCGACGGTAATCACTTACCATCAGGTGATCCGTCTGCTCGTCTGCCCCCTATCCCATAAAAAAAAGCTAGATTAATAGTAGAACCTCGATAAATTAAACTCCAAGGGAAACACGAAATATTTTAAGTTATAGAGGTTTTAAGTTATCAAGGGTCTATGTTAGGGATAAGTTGATATTTATTTATTTTTATTATTATTGTGATAAAAACGACATAAATCAGTTACAATTATCACACATTACAAAAAAATAATATAAAATTAACAATTCACATTCATTATTAAAATAATTAAAATTTATCACACATAAAATAAGTAAGTCATAAATAAAATAGGTCAATAAATTAACAATTACATTAAATAATACTAGTCACTATCTTCATTGTCAGAGTTACCAGAGTTACTCAATTGGTCCCTTAAACTCTCACATACTCTCATAGAGGTGGGTATGTACAAATGTATGTATGTACCCTTGTTCCTATTTTTACTCGAATGTGTCAGAAGGATTGGTTCAATAAAATACAGAAATTATAATAATAATCATATTGATGTATTTATTGACATTGCACACGTTACATAAAAATAAAATAACAAAATAATGTTTTTTTTTATTTTAAACAATTCAATTTCTAAATCGATTTGATTATCAATGACAAATAGAATGGAGAATACGGTATCTTTAATGTTGCTACACTGCTTTATAAATGATCGTACAGTTAAAGTTCTTTTTGCTTCGTGGATTAATACGCTTGTATATGAAGTTTGTGGCTTTTCATTAAAATCATCGTCTTTATCACATTCAATGCAGTTGTTTACTGATTCCAATATTTCTTCCTCAAATGCAAATACAAGCAATAAATACCGAAACCTTTTGTTTTGCACACTCTTTCAAAATGTCTCATTGACAAACAATTTTATGTTATAGAGGTTGTTGAAGCATTTCTTTAAGTTACTGAGGGCTAATACAGAGATTACTTATTTAAGTTACAGATGTTGCGTATTTTAACTTATTGAGGTTTTGGGCTCTGATAGGAAGGGAACGTACTATTTTTTGAAGTTATAGAGGTTTTTAAGTTACCGAGGTTTGAGCTATCGAGGTTTTACTGTAGTATAAAGGATCTCAGGAACTACTGGTTCTAATTGAAAAATGATTTTTGTGTTGAATAGATCATTTATCGACGAAGGCTTTAGGCTATATAACATCACTCTGAAACTATTAGGAGCGCAGAAATAATAGAAAACGCGGACGAAGTTGCTGGCAGCCACTAGTAATAAATATATCTGTCACCATTGATTTGTGAATAAGGCATTGATATTTTGGGTCATATGGGGAATTAAGCGCCACATCTAAAATTCTATATTTACTTAAACTAACTAGCTTCTCGCCAACGGCTTCGCCCGCGCGATTTTCCCGTTTTTTAACATTCTTCATAGCTGCTCCATACATATTAGTTTAACCAAAGAAACTCTTCAGCTTTATAATACAAGTTTTCACAAAACTTTTATTTTAATCCGTGTAGTTTCGATTTATTATGTACAGCAGACGGTCATTGTTATCGTTGTTTATCATACATTTTTTTCATGTTAGGGATGAGAAGCCAACGCAACAAGACTGGGCGGAATTGCTGAAGGACTTGCTAGAGTTGCAGTCCGCTTTGTTTACATGCATCACCAAGGAGGAGTGCTTCGAGGTAATGATTTTTGTTATAAGCAAGACACTAAAAAAATAGAGTATGTTTCGAACTCCCGCCCTGTGTGTATAAAAACCATGAACTTCGTCTGAGTTTTCCTGTGATTTATAGGTGAAGCACTATTTTTTGTTCAAAATTTGTGGGGAGCAAAAATAAAAATATTTAGTACCTTTTAATTTTCCAAATTGCTCCTTCGCTTAGATCTATGCATCATCCCTCCTCACGTCTGGTGATGCGAACAGCATCAAGTTGGCGTCCGAAGTGTTGACCTGTTCAGAGACCGGTCGCCGCGGTTCTAATCAAGTTCAGTACACCCGCACTATACAGCTAGTGTTGGCAGCTGCAAGGGAATATTTCAATTCTGCTTCCTCACTTACCGACCCTGCACTCGAACTTGCCAGGTAAGCATCTAATGTGTGCTAATTTACTTTATTTTCTATAGGTAATTGTATTTTTTAGGAATCAAGAGATAACGACATTCACATACTATATAAGTTGCGTTTTCCATTTGAAAAATAACTTTATGCAGAATTGAAAGCGCAAATATTTTTTTATTTTATGCATTTGTCACGTCCCTGGCTGCTGTTATGTGGGCGCCAGACATGTCATCAGAGTTTGAGGCCAAATTTGAGTGAATATTTACGAAACATTTTAGTGAACTTTTTAGAATGCCAGACTTGCTTTCACATGATCTGTGTCGCATTTGTCACAAAGTTGGCTGACAGAACAGGATGGCAAAGTTTACAAGGATTTTTCGGTTCGTTGAACCCTAAGAAGATCCGTGTGAAGAACCTCAAGAAATTCAATAACATCCTCACTCCTCTTCATTATTAATACAAAAATACAATCTAAAAATACTGCCTTCCTAAACATTGCTACAAGTCTGGCGAGCCACGCAAACTTGATGTTTGTTTAATTTGCGTAGCACGTGGCTGGCACGATGACACGTTATTTGAGATTATTCAAATCTACATTATAATTAACAAAACCATTTGATTTTGTTTGTATAAAAAGAAGTGCTATAAAAATTATGTGAGGATTGCGTATTATTTATTGTATCTACTTTTAGGTGTTGTTTGACATTAATAAAAGACGCCAACCCAGATGTTCAGCAAGAGCTTGATCTCATTGCTGCATTGCAATTACTCAGCGCTTTCAACTTGACGATTCTTCCGATACAAGGTAATTTACATTTGTAAGGTGTATAAGTTTGATGATATATAATGTTTTGTGTTTATTGGTTGATTTATGTCGTTCATAGTTCGTCTGTGTGAAGATCGCATGACGTTGATAGAAGAATGTTTGAAGACCGATCCCAACGCTTACATGGCGAGTCATAAGCTCCTGAAGTTAGCTAAATTACTCCGGATAGCTGGCGACGATGAACATACAAGGTGAGTTCATTCGGGCGTATAGGGACTGGGTGCATTATTGAGATGGGACAACGAGGGCGGATACCTTGACTATTATTCCTTAGATATCATCAATAAATTTATAAAATATTTTGAACTGTATTATTCATTGAAATTTAAAAAACTTTCAATCTGAAAAGAAAATATGTACTTGAATTGAAAAACTACTCTTTATAATCATTTATTTAGGGGTCAGTATTAGAAATGACATAAATTAGAATTAGTAATTATATAGTTTAATTACATAATAACTACTTAATCAGCAAACATTATATCTTAAATATTAAAAATAAAACAAACAAATTAATAATAAGAGGGCTCTAAAACTTACATCTACACAATTAAAAGCTCTGTGTCCACATTCGACATCGTTTGCTAAGTTTTTTTAATCTTTAACTTAAAATTTTGTGAGCGAACGTGCGCTATAGCGTTTAATCTATTGTATAGTACTGTGTTATAAGAAAACAATAGTCATAATGAATAACTGCCGAACTGTTAAAATCTTACAATTTTTATAGAGTAAATTAGTAGGGCAAAGGACAGGACGGAAAGTAGAAACCTTTAAGATAGCTCTCTGTGCTCTCTCAGTAGATAATGCAGTAGGATAAATTTGATTGGCGTAGTGCCACGTAAACTTGTCTAGTTATTGCAACGTCTGCAAATCGTAACTTTTTAAAAGTAAATTACTTTTTATAAATTCCGTTATTTACAGCCTCAATGTGTTTCTCGAATGAAAGATTTTCATCTACTATAATTCCAAGATATTTGATGGAATTAGTGATTTTGATTTTTGGGCATGCACATTGGTTTACATACATTTATTATTAGTAAATGATCCTGAAGCCATTTATAAACTAAGTTGAACCCACATTGCGCCATTCTGTAAACGTCGTCCTCTGTTGAGAAAAGAAGGGCAGTGTCGTCGGCGTATGTTATAGTATAACCATTATCTAACGTAAGATTACAGAGGTCGTTTATGTATATCAAAAATAGTATCGGCTCTAGAATACTCCCTTGGGAAACTCCAAAAGAAGTACCTCTAAAGTCAGCACTAATCACACTGCCGATCTAAACACATTGTGAACAGTGTTCCCGATAACTTTGGAATAATTTCAACTGTATGCCTCTTATTCCTACATTTTCAAGCTTTCATAACGAGATCGGAATAGAAACGGTGTCAAATGCTTTTGAGAGGTCGAGAAAAATTCCTAATGTGTAATTTCCTTTATCCGTATTTTGAAATATATATTCTGTTAAATTATGTACGGCATCAGCATTTGACAACTTTGATCTGAATCCAAATTGCGCCGTAGGCAGTATCGATTTCTCCTTCAAATACTTTGTCAACCTTTTATTTATATATCATTTACCTTTTTTACCTTCTCAAACATTTTTGACAGAGCGATCAAAATTGAAATAGACCTATAATTGGAGACATCTTTGTCAGTGCCAGATAAATGGGGATCACAATAGCTTTTATCAGATATTTAGGAAATAGCCTGCAGATAAATATTTTTGAAAAAAATATTTGTTAGTGGAGGTACCAAAATTTTTCCTGACATGTGTTCATTTTATAGAGCTTAAAAACTTATCGAGATCAACATTCTCGAGTTTATAAAAAAGGTTCTTGTTGTATAAGCAAGTAAAGAACCTCCTTTTCTTGCATATTCGATTTGCAGTTGATTTTACAGGTCAAGTTTGTCTTGAAGTGATTGAATAGAGCTATGAGCTTATTGGACTGCCATTTGTGAGGTGCCTAGACTCACTTTTCTGCATAAATTGTTTATTCTCAATTTTTGCTCCGAATTAAGTTTACCATCAGCGGCAATACGACATACCTCGTTTAGACACTGTTCAATAGTTGTGATTCAGCTCTGAATCTCTGGCGTAGATATTGTTTCTAAGACATTTCTTGGATTCACTTTTAAAGATGAGGTGGAAGGGCGGAAGGAAGGAAACGGGTGGTTTTGAAACTTCTGTTAAAGGGATTACCTTCCATCGTACGGAAAAGTTTTTATTAGTTTACAGTAAAAGCTCCTTATTCGCGGGGGTTACGTTCCTTAAATAGGCCGCGAATACAGAAAACGCGAATACGGGATGGCATTTAGTATAGAATTATAGGGGATACGTTCCTAGGCGACGAAATAAAAAAAGCAAACACATAAAAATCAGTTTAATTTAAGTTTTTGTCATATATACACGTCACATAATATCTTCAGGTTTAGGCAATGGTTTAAAAATTTTGTGATTTTTCTTGCTTGGCGACTTTAAGAGCTTTCTCAGTTCACACTGATATTCAGCAGTGGCACTAGCAATTTGCCTCTTAAAAATAAGACTTCGTTCCATTGATGGATCAATTTTCATAAAGAAATCACGAAGCTCATTTGCCATTCTTATGCCTTCACTAAGATTTTACAGATTAAATGTCACGTTGCCAGTGCCTGTTGACGCCTCTTCTTCAATGGGTTGTGAATTTAACATTTCCTCCAAGTCGGTTTCAGCCAAATCTTCATCTTACGATTCGAGCAACTCCTGAATATCACTTGATTCTATTTGTTCGAATCCATCTCGTCCTATTCCACTCGCAATTTCGGCAATGTTTACAGTTAAAGTTTTAATTTCTTCTTCATTTTCAGCAGTCAGAACTGGCCATAGTTTTTTCCCGCATGATTTCAATGTGCGCTTCAGTTCTTGCAATGATTCTTGTATGTTTACGATGCATTTTGCTATGTCAAATTTCTTCCAGCATTCCATAACATTCATATCAGGATCACATTCCATATTATCCAGTATGATTTTGAAGGTCCGTCTTATGTAATAGAGCTTAAAGGTCTGGTTTATTCCTTGGTTGGAGGTTGACGCAAAGCCGTCTTTTCTTTTGAAAACACAATCTAGGCGTAGTTGTAATAAGGTCTATTTTATTTATCTCTTTATTAGTCCACTTGCTGACAAATGATACCGAATGCTTTTTATTTAGGGACATATTATTATATGAATATACCGATGTACCGATTCAATCCGCGAATAAGGAAATTTTAAGCCGCGAATATGGGACTTGAGTCGCATTTTTTCAATCCGCGAATAAAGAGCTTTTACTGTATTTCACTTTACATTACCATTTATTCACTATACCTAACATATGACACAGCTTTCATTTACTACCAGTTTGCCGTCATATAACGACGTCACTATAACGTGAGTGTTTTATTTATTAAATTAATTACATAGACACCTCTGTTCTCTACGAAAATCCCGTTCAATTTCAATATGTGTAGCGGTTGAACTTCAACGCGGATGTGTGTTAAGATCAAAATGAACTAATGCCGAGGTCTGGTTGGAGCGCACGACACGTCGTCGTTCGTCGATAGGACCGCTACAGGCGGGGTAAAACGTGCGCGTTGGTGTGCAGGGAGGCGCAGGTGTTGGTGTGCGTGGGCGGGGCGGCGTGCGCGGCGGGCGGGTGGGGCGCGGCGGGCGAGGCGGCCCGGCGGCTGGCCGCGCTGCAGCACGCGCCCGCCGCGCCGCTGCTGGCGCACGTGGCCGCGCGCGCCACCGCCCACGCCGACCCCGCGCTCCGCCGTTTGCTGCTCGCCGCCGCTGCGCACGCGCTCCCGGCCGCCGCGCTCGAGGACGTGCTCAGGGACAGGTACACGCCACGTGCCATTATGCCTCACTCGAACGGTCAAACCTACATCGGATGATGGTATGAGTGGGTAAAAAAAAGATAGATAATAGAAAAGTATTAGGTACCTTTCTTTTTTATTTCAATTTAACAAGAAATTGCTTAGATAACAGGCATTAAAGTTGAGGAGTGGGCTCGCTATGTAACAGTTTTGTAGAAAATGTACAAAAGCGTCACATTCACAATCATGTGACATTTTAACTCAACGTATCGTCATAATTTAAATATACGCAAAAAAATAAGAAAAATACTTGTTTAATATTTTTCAACAATCTACCTGACGGACAAACAAAAAAATAGACGTCATCCTATTGTCATTTGGCATCATTTGCTGCCATTACACAGGGCGTTAATTGCCATTGTACATCATTTTTGTCATACTTTACCTATATTGGCAATCGCTTTTTTTTGCGTCGAATTGAACTAATAATTTCTTGCGGAGCCTGATAAGTGAATCAATTGTATACTGGTACTACGCACTCATTAGTAAAGGCTGCTTCAAACAAATTTTATACCTAAAGGAACGACTTGCATTACACTCACACTTTATAGGCCATTTTGATGTCAGGAGGTCCCGCCATATAGTGACCATTAATTTGATACTTTTTAATACTTCTTCATTTACTTATATAATTTACTCTAATTGAAAATGTCAGTTATATAAAGCGATATTGCGTTATCACCGACACATGACTCATTTTGTTCAACTGAACTGATACATGATTTATATCACAGGGTTGCGCTGGAACTTGAAGGTATGCAGCAATCTGGAATAGCGCTGAAAGAACATCACAACTTAACGAACCGTTGGCCTTCCACCGACGACGAGTTCGACGACGCTATAACAACAGTAAGAATAATTATTTAATGATACGTTTATAATTCTGTTAAACGTGATTTGTATTCTAATCATTTTGTTCACAGCCAGTTATTGAAAAGAAAGATTTGGTAGCACCAGTGCAGACGGAGAAGAAAATGCCACTTTTCAATTATTTATTAGACTCTTTACAAAGCAAGTTTGCTGTGAGGTAAGTTCGTGCTTGTTGCGTTTTATGAAATATGATATTACCACAGATATTATGATTCTATACTCGTTCTATTACTATATTTTAGAAAGTGTGCACCCTTTTTTTTGATAACATAAGGAAAATATCTCGGTGGCGTAGTGGATAAGCGCCGCGGCCCGCGATCGTAGTCGTTAAGCAACTTTCGCAAGGGTCGGTCACGGCATGGGTGACCAAAAATTATTATCTCGAGCTACTCCGTGCTTCGGAAGGCACGTTAAGCCGTTGGTCCCGGCTGCCGTTGCAGTCGTTAATACCATCCAATCCGCATTGGGCCAAGGTGGAGGGTCATGGCCCATCCTCGTTAACCATCCATAAGGAAGGCCTGAGCCCCTGCAGTGAGGACGTAAAAGGGCTGGTGACAAGGGAAATACACCTTAAGCCTTAAACCAGGGCTCCCCAAAGACTAAGCTGGTGAAACCCTCTGCGGAGTACCTACCCTCTTGGGCGGACAGGGATTCGGGATCCAGCAAGGAACCCGCTGGGTCAAAATAGTGTGCACCCTAAGAACCTTAAATTGCAATCCTGTAATTGATTGATCATTAACATATGCCGTAGAGTTTCTTGTGCACAGCCACCATACATACCATTTTGAGAAAAGAGAAGTTTGATTATGATTGGGACATTAATTTTTACCACTCGAACTATCCAAAACAGTGGGCTATCTAAGGCAACACTACCTTAATAAAATCAATAAAAAAAAGATTTAAATTTTTTGAATAGGGCATTCTACTCTGTTTGTAATGATACTTATAACAGTTTTTTTTTTATGTAAATAAGCCATAAAACAAATCACTCGGAAAAATAAACTCATTTTCTTGCTTTATAATTAAATAAAAAATTTAACTTTTTTTTATACCCGCGGCAATTTATGACGTCATTCTGATATGTACACAAAACAGATGCATGGAGTAGAAGATTGAAAGATGTTCATAAAACTAGAGCAATGCCATCTTACGATCAATTAGAAATAAAAAGATATAAATAAACTAAGAACAGCGCCATCTAAGTATTTCATTTATAATTAATAGACATTATCATTATGACCAATGAAATAAAATCACGAATTTTAATTTTAAGATAATCGTGCGAATTTAAGACTCAAAATCGGAATCTCTATGATTATTACGATGTACCCTATTATGTTACGTTTTAATAGCGTCACACATTTTTCAGCGGTGAAGAGAAAACCGGTGACATTGAACCTGAAGAGCGTACTGTACATTGTCAAGAGTTCTACCGGTCATTGTATCCGTCGCATAAGCAGTCTAGGATGCACTATGGCTACGATAGATTCACGGTGCCTGATAATCATGGCGCTGCGCCGGCTGCCCACGCGCTCCTGAACTGGTACTACATGCAGAACTGCTTAGATGATGGTGGTGCACCGGAAATAGAAACTTTAGGTTAGTGTTAGACATGGGGCATATTTATTAAAGGAAACGTTAATGATTTTTGTGTGTCTTAAGCTTGTTAACATTATACATATACTTTAGACACGTATTTAAATTTAATTTCAAGAAAAACTATCGATCTATTATTAGTTATTTGGGGATTGTAGGGGATTTTTCATGGGAATAATCAGTTGAGATTTTGAATTATTCTGACAATTCAGAAACTGGTCGTACGTCATTGTCTGAGTTAGTATTTTATTTTCATATTTTAAGAATGGTTTTACTCTATAACAATTGCAGTTTCCTATTTGCAGTGGTACAGAAATGTGCTGAAGAGTTGCTGTACAGAGATACTCCTCTCAGTGTAGCGTGCATGTTGCGCTCCACCCAGGACTATAGTAAAGCGAAGAGAACTATAGACACACACAACACGGACACCGCCGTCAGCGCCACGCTGTACGCCACCCTGATGAAGTGCAACGCGCCTGAACTCAGGGATAACGTATACCTCACCGAACCTGTTGTTGTAAGTATGTTTTATCAAGTGATAGTGGTTTTATTGATGTATTCAATTGGAGGTCATAGTCATAGTTAAAATAGATTTATTAAAATAAAGGTTTTTAAATAATAAAAACCTTTAATTTTACTCAAAATAATATACATTTTACCATCCGTAAAACACAAAAGATAATGAGTACCTACCATAAAAAAATATTGTCTAGATGGCCAGAACGACGCTGAAACAAAAGAATGCATCCGAGGAGCAACTGGTGTTGATACGCGAGTGTATCGAGCGTTTGAGTGGAATGAGTGAGGTGGATCAATTACGGGAACTCGGACTTACTGTCAACACGCTACTGTTCAACGCCGACAGTGATTACCGTACTGAGATCATTTTCCGAGCTGCGAGGTATGTTTGTTTAATTTAAGGAAAAGGGATCTAGCTCATACATCTAAATTTTATCAGGTTTTTTTTCGATAAAACGTTGGTGTGCAACAAACTTGTCATTTCCTTCGAAGTAATATGCTAGGCACGTTTTCTGTTTCTTATTACCGTGCAAAACATTAAAAAATTAGCTGTTATACACTTATATTTAAAAAAAAAATGTGTGATAAATGACACAGTACACAACATAATAAATTAAAACCATGAATAATTAAAATGTTAAAAGAATTGCTATTAACTGAAAATATTATGTGAAATAAGCATCGTCCGTAATGCGCAGGTCATCGGATCCGCAGCATTTGTCTATGGCTTGCAAGTTGGCCGCCAAGTATGGGGTGCCAGTATTGGATGTGTGGTTACAACACGCCGCTGAGCATACGTCACGAGCCTTACCTCCACCTCCTGAGGCCCTTCAACACCCAGACGCACATTCCCGGTAATATCTTAAATTAAAATCTTAAATTCTCATTTCTTTCATTATTTCTCATAATTTCTTTTATATTTGGCGTAAAATATAAAAATCATAGATTATACATATAACTTGTTTTTTAGGAAATCACTGCTCAGTTACTTTTATTGGTATTCAACATAACAATTTCACACGTAGGTTAAGTACGTATTCGATAAAAACAAAATATTTCGACGTTTCCACTAGAAATAAAAGTTTCAAGCAACACAGAAAATTACCCATAAAGTGAAATATTATGAAAGTGAAATGAATTTCTTAATCCAATTATTATTATTATATAAAACGCAGTATCAAAGATACTCTGTGGCCACTTCTGCAAGGCAACGATCACAACGGGCTAATCAACTTCTTCACGATCCTGCGCACTGTGGATGAAAAACACCAAATGTTCGGTTTAACCGCTGCTGAACACATCAAAACTCTTAAAAAAGTGAAAGCTGCCTCTTCAGGTAAGAATAACTAGACTGCACACATGTAGAGTGAATATCCTAATGTGTTGTGAATGAAAATCAAAATCATATGCGGATATTGTCATTTTGTAGTTTGATGTTCTGCTGTATGAGTATATATATATATATATATTTTGTAGTTATTTTAATAAACGTATCAAATGCGAGTTCTAAAGCTATGGTCATAATAGACATTTACAGCAATTAGTTAAAAAAATTACATTGTGTGTGGTTAACATTTTTAAAGATTATTCGTCAAATGTTTTTATATAATTATTTCTCGTTTTGAATCAATAAACCAGAATAAAATTTTCCAATATTTGCACTCTGATTGGTGTAAAACCATCAAGGAAAAGAGCAAGAAACATTCAAAATGTAAAATAATTTTATTGATTTACTGGATTTTTAAGAAATTACACGGATCAGTCTTGTGTTTTATTCATTTTTAAGGTTGAATATAAAAACAACATATTATAATTCAATTTTGTAACTGAAAATCGCTTTTGTTTACCCTAAAAATAAAGTCGCGTCCTCCAAAACTACAGATAAATTTAAAAAATTTTTTTGGGTACACAATAAGGCTTCTTGATATAAAATTGTATTTTTGTGGGATTTATATTGATTAATTTAAAAGTTTTGTGAAAGTTATCCGATCCTCTATTTTCCTGCGAAAGTAAAAATATGCATTATATACTGCCTATTTGATTGCGTCAACTTATATTTTTAAAGCTCTAAATCTAAAAGGATCATAGACCTCAGTATTTCATATTGATCGGAACATGAAAGAGCACCATAACCGAAATCGATATAATTTCAGATACGTAATTTTGAATAATAATGGAGTCTTATCTTATTTTATATTTTCAAGTCCGATCCCTTGCAGGGTTTAAGTTCATTACACCTAGACCAAGAGACGGTATACAAAAGGCCATTTCCAATATTAAACCGCCTGGTACTTGTACCCAGAACCGTAGAGATGGCGACACTTCGAAACCGGAGTACGCGCCACTCCACCATGAATTGTGTTATCTCTGTGAGTGGAGTGTTTGCTTTTTCGATAACTTAAGATGCAACGGAGGTAGGACTTGACACTGCGTCTGATGCATAGATAAAATTTTTAAGGATATAATTTTAACAAAATTATAAGAACCATTCAAAATTTTTCGAATTTTCGTTCGAGGCAAATAGAATAGGCCTTCGGGAGTCATCTTAATTCGTATGAATTGCAGATATAAAATTGTATCCTCAGAGTTAGACTACAAGTTGCTAGTGAGTCAGCCTACGGCGGATGAATACCGCGCCCACCTGGTACATATATTACGTCCAGAAACCGTAGCATTGGTGAGCAAGCTGCTACGGGCGCTGCCTACACCGCTACGGCCGCCGCTACCGCTCGGAGCTGTCTACGCTGCCTGGCTTACTCATTACTTCTATAGCGTGAGTCGTTGATATCAACCTAGTAAAGTCTCCACTTTTATTGATAGAATTTCGTACGTAACGTTGCAGCTGTAAGCCACCACGCTGTCGTCAGCTTAAAGTACCTTCAGAAGAACGGAGGAACTTAAGATAGTAAAATGACTACCCATCCGATGGCTGGCCGTTGTGGAAGTTGCATAACATCCGCAAATGTTTATTATTCCCTAGTTCACAATTCTTCTCGTTACTGTACGTTAGTGCACGAATTATAAATTTACACTTTTCTAATTCACCACCTCCTAAAATCACCTAATTACAAAATAACTGAGTCGTTACTACTGACTACTTTCTAGAATTCGTTACTGGTCATAATTAAACTGTGATAGTTTTAAATTTTATTACTATAGACAAAACCGAAAGACTATGTAACAAGTTCAGTTAAATATTCATAATGTGTGTGGTGATAAATACTCACACAGGTGCCATCTAGCGCCGCAACTAACAAAAAATGGATGCAGCAGTACCGCCAGTGCGCCAGCTATTTCAACAAGTTGTCTAAAGACGATCTTATGGAGTTTGTCGTCAACACGTGCTTCTCACAACAAGCTATCGAAAGGTAAGTAACTGAATATACAGCAAACTTTCATTTATTAACACTCGTCGATCTTTTTAAGTTTTAAACTAACGCGCTGCATTATTAAAAGTCGCGTCTAATACTCGGTATTATAAGTACTTGTCGATCTTCTTGATTTGTATACGTACACATTCCTACTACATCTGTGGGTCACGATGTCGAATGGAAACTTTTCTTCACTGTAACATTTTTAAATTAATCGACGATAATTAATTAAAAATAAATTGCCGATCGCTTTCTTTAACTGTCATACACACGTCATATTAATGATAACTCACGACGATGCTCAAACACGCTCATCATCATCAGCTCTTTTACGTCCCTACTGCAGGGGCGCAGGCTTTCCTTATGGATGGTTAAGGACGATAGGCCATGACCCTCCACCTTGACCCAATGCTGATTGGAGGATAATAACAACTGCGAATGCAGCCGGGAATAACATCTTAGCATGGCTTCCAAAGCATGGTGTAGTTCGAGATAATATTTTTTTGCCACCCATCCCGTGACCCGACCCCTGTGAAAATTTCTTAACAGCAACGATCGGGGGCCGCGGTGTTTATCCACTACGCTATTGAGCTATATAAATAAACCGATCTTATTGTATTATTTTATAATACAGGATCCCTGCCGGCACTCGGAGTTTGATGATAATGCAGGCAGTAGATTACTGTCAGCAAGAGCAAGAAAATGACTACAAATTTAACAAAAAGTAAGTAAAATTTCTGTAACATGTACTCGTATTTTAATCTTTGACATACTCTTTGCTATAACTCTATAAAGTGTAAAATGAAGCGAAATATATTAATTCGATTTATCTCGTATCATTAAGTGAACAAACGTGGACACAACTCAGCAATGAGTTGACGAGATGGGCGCGATTTCTGGATAACTTCCACTCTAGTACCATACAGACCATCGTCGAGAATTGTGCGTTGCCCGACCCGAAAATATGGCAGTAAGTACTCATTTAGGCTTTAATTTGATATAAGGGGCGGTCCATTAATCACTTGATGTTTTTTTCAACATTTTTTAACCTCCTTCCCTTTGGTGATAATTTTCGAAGTCGTTTTTGGTTTAGTAATTGCTTGTTCGAGGAGAAAAATACACGTGATATATTACTACACCTCTCTACCCCTTGTGATATTTCGTGATTTTTGACGAATCCTCTCCCCCTTTAAAATTCACGTAATTAATGGACGGTCTCTTATATAAAAAAAAAAAATGTAGTACTCGGACGAGTCAACATGACATCTGGCTAAAATTACGTGTGTGCAAAGTACAGCGTGCAAAAATTATCATTACCATTTATAATAAATTACAAACTATTGAGTTGTACACAAAGTTGCAATTTATTTACTTAAATAAAATATGCCACAGAATGATTAGCAAATAGGGTATGCTAATATTATAATGATGACATTTTTTATTTCTTTGCTTGCATTGCATAGATTCAGAAACTTACAGACCGATTTTAAAAATCTTTTCGTCTACGGGAAGCTACAGCATACGCGGGTGACATAGGCTATTATTTACACGGGTACTTGACAGTTACAAATATGTTAGAAATATGATGTAACTAATATGTAAACAATAATTATGTGGTATTTTTTTGTTTGAAATTAATTGTAATTGTATTTTATTTTTACCAATTTAACTTCCTATTCAAATCCGTGGATTACAAGAACCGAAATGCTAGCGGCCATAGCGGATCATTGTGTGACGTCACATTTCAATAAACTAAACGTGTTTTTTGTCGACAAAAATGTCGAAAAATAAATGTGATCATATACAAGATTTATATGATCATATATTAGATGTAACTAATTAACATAAGCAAAGTCGCGGGAGAACGCTAGTATAGAGATTATGCATAGGGAAAAAAGAAACCCCTATTAGCCCGTTAGTCCGATAATAGAGTAAAGGCTATTGTAAAGTTGATGATTATTTTAAGAACCGCAATGCATGGAATTAATAGCCTTCGCTTTATTCTATAACGACTAATTATATGTACCGTACCAACCTATGTACAGACTTTTAAAGTTTTATTTATTATTTTATTTATTTTGGTAATGACATTATTTATGTAAATGTCATTACTTATGATAAAGAGCTGGTAAGTTTCTTTCGCTTGTTCTTTTTGTTAGTTAAAAGATGTCCTGAACAAGTGGTAGACTAAAAAATCTTTTGGACGATTCAAAAGTACTTGTAACAAGCTTACTTGAATAAAGATATTTTTATTTCATTTTATTCCAGTGGAAAGAATTAGATGCGTATTTTTTTGCTTAAATTTAACAAGAAATTATTTAGATAATAGGCATTAAAGTTGAGGTTTGGGGGCTAGCTGCGTCACAACTACGTATAAAAAGATTGAATATCAGCATCGATTTTTGCTAATCGGATGCTGATGCTGACATTCGCAACGACCCTGTTATAAACTTTACATCTATAAGAAACTTACACTAGACATGTTTACTATGGGTATGTTCCGATATACACTGCGACCATTGAATAGTATGACGTCAATTTAGTATACTGGAAGCCCGTTCCTTTATAGCTAGTTATACTGGTGACTTTTTAAAACGGAACGCAGTCCAGTATACTGTTAATCCTATTTTTTGGCGCCATTTTCAAATTTCTTAATGCAAGGTGAATATAAATATAAAGATTCCCTCTTTTCAAAAGAAAATTGGAAAATTGTATAAAAAAATTATTTATCAATTAAATCCATCTTATAAATAAACGTAAGTATTTTTTTTTTGTTTATTTAGAAACTTATCATTTTCTGATTCTGTTTCGACTGATCACGTGATCAAAAGCACTGCGAGCACCTTACCTCGAAATCTCCAGTGCTCACAGTACAAATATGGCGGCAATTTATGACGTCATAAATTTCCCTAGGGTACTGTAGCAGTGTACTGGTAGTCCATAATGGAACAGATTTTTCAGCAGTAAGACCACTGCGCAGTGCTCGCAGTGTATATCGGAACATACCCAATATTACATTATATAGTTAGACTCACTATTCGTGTCATTGGTGAGATGTATATTACGTTGTAGTGATATGGAGATGAGTCACGGCGATAGTGAGCGAGTGGTCAGTTGCGCCGCGCGACTGGTGATGGCGCACGAGGTGAGGGCGGCGTCGCTCGGCACCTTACTGCAGTGTCTGCACATAGACGCCGACCACGGAACGGTACTGCAGTACGCACTCGAGCATCTGATACACACCTTGCAGTACGTTGCATACATTATAGGAAAATATTGAAATAAGTAGAAAACGCGTATTAAATACACTGGACCCGATTTTGCCAGTTTTAAATCAGAGTGCTTAGTGTAAGTTTTTTGACACCGTTCACCGTCGATCGTGAGCGCGTTATGGTTTCGGTGTGGAATTCGGTATAGCGCCCCTAGCGGTAACTACAAATCTTTGTATAAATTTTATAAAACTTACACTCTGATAAAATTCCTGAACTGTAAATAAAATTCCGATCCGTTCGATTTGAAAATTCCTACACGGGAAGCCCGATCCACTTGTTAGGGAATAAAATATCTATAGAATCCATATTTATCTATGATCGATAGATATTCATTTTCTAATAAGAATTCGATGACCAACCGGGCTCTGTTATCGTATTTATGTTTGCGGGCCGATCGATCCGAAAGTTTGACGAGCCGACACGTAATGTATTGTTCCGGACAGGGATATACAGACGCTCGCTAGTCGCGTGATATCGTACAACAAGGAGGGCGTGAAGCTGCCCCCGGAGCTGATCGAGCGTGTAGCGGAGGTGGGGGCGGGGCTGGGACTGGGCGCCTGGGTGGCGCTGCTCGCGCTGCGGCCCCCGCCCCCGCCCGGCTCGCAAGCCGCGCGCGCCCCCCGCGACCCGCCCCCGCCCCCGCGCGCCGCGCTGCTGCTGCGCGACCACTGGCCACACCTGCACCCCACACTCAACGGTCAGTACACTTGCGTCATATGCCACCTCGACCTCACACATGCGTCATATCCCACGACCTCACACGTGCATCATATGCCACCTCGACCTCACACATGCGTCATATGCCACCTCGACCTCACACATGCGTCATATGCCACCTCGCCCTCACACGTGTGACATATGCCACCTCGACCATTTTCCCCGGGCGCCAGTATCAGAGGGTGCCAAAATCATCATTATACTTATAATGCCTACTTATACAGTTAAAAGACATCAAAGGCTACGATGGGACGGGCATGCTTCAAATTCAATTCTTTGATAAATAGTTATATAAAGTTTAAATACAATACGATAATATGTCAAATTTCCCCTACGATAGACGCTTACGAAAGTTATTGATTTATGCTGTGGCCGAGTGGCTCGCACACCGGTTTCATGGCGACTCTAAGATCTCAGATTTCCACTAAATTATTCAATATAGAAAAACGTATTTTCTTTATGTACATTCGTTATTTCGTATAGATTTTGTTTACATTAATTTTAACTATTTATTTATTCTAATTAAAAATCAATAAGTCTTCTTAAACGGAACTGTTTTATATTACAAAAAAAAAAATTACAGAAGAAGATCTGATGAGCGAGGAAGGTCGTAGCGCCGCGTTCAGCGTTAGTCTCGAGCAGGCTGACTCGTGGCAGCGGCGGAAAGCACTCGTTGATCTGTTGCACTGCTGGCCACCCACACTCAACAGGTAGGTGTATACTCTTCCACATGCCACGAATCCACAAACTTTAGTCTGATCGCCAACAATCTCTCCAAAAACATAAACTGACAAGTTACAAAAGATTAGGGATTGGGCTGAATTTCAGAAAATTAATAATTATAAATGCTTGTGTCCACAAAATTTATTATGTTTCACTTATTTTTCAGTATAGCATATTGATTACGAAATTGACCAAAGATAATAATTATTATTTGTTCCGTTCGATATCCGGAATCCATCTTGAGTCAAGCATCATCCTTTTTGTGACGTTTCCGGTCCAAAACGATCTCTGTTGTTCCCACAGGCCAGGCCTTGCCTAGTGTGGGTACCAGTATATCACAAATTTGTAAATGTTATCTTGGGAAATAAATATTATTATATTATTATTAAACACTACCTCCCTTCTTACTTCCGGCGCCTGTGCTGCCATCTAGTTTGCGGGTAGCGAACCAATGACTTTTAGGCACGAACGCTTACCGTCATTATAGCGTCGTTTTTCGTGGCGAAAACATCGGTCCTACATAAAATGTGCACAAATTATACTTATTATTATATAGTTTAGTGTTAAAAATTAAAATGAAATGAATATAAAATTAACCTCCCTTCGTAATGGAGCAACGGGACAGCGAAATAAACAAAGAAAACAGCATTGAAGCAGGCGTGTTTATTGTCTTCGAGCTCAGCGAACAGTGTCGTCGGATTCCAGCTCGGAGAGAGCAAGTAAGGTACAGAGGCGAGAAAAACTCTAAGTGATTTGCATTCGATTTGTTACCCCAACCAGTGACATTTTTTGATAATGCATGATAAAAACTGGAAAACTAAATCCACCTGTGCATTTTTCCATAGCAAAATAGCACAAAGTATCCATACCAGGACCGCAATTATGGCAACCACAGCCACCATCACGTTCCCTACGACCCCACGGTTCTGAACAGTTCCTACTTGCAGCGGTTACGACTGGTGATAATTTTCTTTATGTACCTACTATAGTAAAACAATCAACACAAGTTCAAATAGGATTTTTTTTTTCTTAATAACGTTAAAGACCCAGTCTATGGTGAAACCAAATTAGATGAAATATGCTCAAATTAAATTATAAGTTGAGGCGATTTGTTTCTGCTACAACAATTTGATGATTTAAGATAAGATCTTTATTTGCGAGAATAGAAGTCATTATAATTATATTTTATAGAAATGGTACAATCTACAGCAAATTAACAAATACCTTAACAGAATTAAAGTATGAATCAATTAGTTTAGAACTAGTTTACAACAAATTGTAGATTGATCTATTGCTAAAGATCTTAATGCTAAAGAGCTTTTGATAAAATCTAATCAACATTCAACAAGGATTATATTTTCCAAATATTAAGTGGCAGACGCACTGATGTGTTCAGAGCCGTGGCGAAGTTTTCTGAGGTGCCTTTACAGAAATTTTTGCCAAATTCAGAGTTCAAAGTCAAAGTCAAAATAATATTTATTCAAATAGACTTCTCTTTTGAATCGTCCAACATTTTTCCCCACCACTCGTTCAGGACGTCTTTTGGCTGATAGGAAGAACGAACAAGTTCTTCTTTAATAATAGTATATTGCACCCAAAAAACAAGGGGGTGCATAAAATGGTTGCAACTGCAAGTTGATTCAAGGTAGATTACCAGAAGTACACACCAATATTTAAATGGTAATGAGACCAGTTCATTAAACTTTAGAAATAAATACAATGCATGACATGACACATTGGAGGGGGCTATCTAATGCGATCTGTAAGTTTATGGAACAATCAGGATGTTCCAGATTGCATATGTGGAATCTTGGGCGAGTGGCTCACCAGTTCCAAGGTGTCACCATTTCCGAGCTCCCGCATTCCACTCTCGGTCATGTCTCTGGTCTGGGTGTTGTTACCTTCGTTGTTTCAGATTTCCATAATACAAGTGTTTAACTATATCATTTGGTATCTAAACTATGTAGGTATGTGATGGTATAAAAATTATATTTTTATGCGTGGGATTTTAAGCCATCTTCAAATATCATTTGCAATGCTCAAATTAATATACTGGAGATTACAAAAAACACCCTGTTTTGTATCATTTCCTCTTCTAATGTTAAAACCCGACAATTTCATTTAAAACGACACTGATTTGTCAAAATAAAACCTTTTCGACTGATCAATAATTTTCGTATTCCGAACATTCTCATACAAAACGAATGGTTTACGAAAATATATCCGAGCCAAAAGTATTTTCATTTGAGTATCGCCGAACAACATCTGGTTCACAGGTTCTTGAGACTGGCATACAACAACCTACCTAATGCATCTGACGTGTCTCTTTGGACTGCCATCGGTACCCAAAAACTTTGCTGCCTAGACCAACACAACAACTGCGCTACCACAATAGCAACGCTTAGGGTGGTCTCTCAACTTCGAGCAGTGTGTGCTGGTTCTGAGCTTCCTCGGCGTTGCCTGGTGCATCGTGACCAACACGGTCACGAGGTGCCGGGAAGTGCCGGGGAAGTCAGGGGTAAGTCCCTGTCGGAACCGAAGTGCCTTACGCTACGCATGGCACTTCAGCACGAGGCGACTACACGTGGCGGTTAGTCCCTCAGACAGGCCCAGTTCCTAATGGGGAGACTCGACTTTGCCTAGTTTGTGATTCGAAGAGGGTGACTACACTATCGCACACTGCAATACTACCATCGACAGTTGCCCAAAGATCACCATTACCACCGAATCAAACTACCAGAATCAGTACTAAACATTTAGTGAAGTCCCTGTTTGAACCGAACGATTCACGCTACGCATGGCACTTCAGCATCAGATTGTACAAAGCGGTTAGTCCCTCAGACAGGCCCAGTTCCTAATGGTGAGACTCGACTTTGCCTCGTTTGTGATTCGAACAGGGTGATAACACTGTCGCACACTGCAACACTAACATCGACAGCTTAAAACTATTACTACCTATTCGGAATACCAGACCCAGTACTGAATGACTTAAAATGGTAAGTAAATGTTGTATCATGATACCTTCCAATAAATGCAACGCAAATCGCTCAACATCCGAGGACAGGTGCATAGGAAATCTGTTCGAGTGCTCAACTCGAGGCAATTACTCACGCGAGTCTTCATTTCGCGGAATGCCTAGATGTAAATGCTAAGAGAACTGTACCGATTCCCGTACATAAACAAAGATGGGGGACCAAATCTAGGAAATTTTTGTAATTATGACACGAACAAGGCAGATTCAGAAATTATGCATAGCCTGAATACTAAATCTAGCAGCCCAATGTACACCAGATGTGAACTTATTCCATCGACAAAAGCACACGTCATTCCCAGGTTCATGACAATGGATGTGACGGACGAGCAAGCTAATAGGTCATAACGCATGACGTCATCAGTGCAAATGCAAGCTGGCCTTATTCAAACATGATTCCGCAAATACGTTCTCGACTCCAGTAAGCGTCAAGGCAAGTTAGTACATTATGATTGTTCCAAAATGGGACAAAGTGTCTTGGCTGACGATTTGTTTCCGCAAATACTGCAATAGGTATGGCAACAGGTGTTCATCCCCCGAAATTCAGAAAATCTATTTAAAAGTCGGACAGAACAAAATAAAATAAAGAAAATCTTGAAACTATCGATTTAATGTAAAGCGACTATAAATATCTACTAGTATTAATTCTGCAAATAACAAGTGCCCGGTAGGGAAATTCTGCTAATGTCGGCGTAATGGTGGAGGGTCAATAGCGCTTCGACTACAACCCTTTATGACACATTCTTGTTACTAGATCATAAAATAATAAATATATCTGTCAATATTGAATTGTTAGGAAGACATTGCACTAATAATATTAGACTTCAGGTATATAGTACAATGGAAATTTTACGTAGATTGGCAGAATTGACTCTATTTAAGTTGCTGGAAATTAAGCATAATTTCACAATCTTCAAGGTCGCCGAATCCATTATTTAACCCTTTTAACCTTTGAAGTACAGGGACGAAAATGATTTTTTGTCTTATGGTCCCATTTTGTATTAAAAACAGATAATAGTAATTATGACAGCCTGGATAGAAATGATTAACTGACACAAATCATTCGATTGCATGTATTGGACACGCGATCAATTTTTGTATTGAAAGAGCCCCAAAAAGAAGTAATTTTCACGAGTTAACTACTCTGTTCTCAAAAATGTTAAATAGAAGCACATAATGTAGAAGATTCTTCAGGGTCTATTACATCTGCAGTTCCATCTCTAAATTGACTGGAACTGTTTCCGATGGATAAATTACTGAAACTGTGAACTGGCGCCAAGAACATACTTTTAAGAAGTCCTATCGAAAACTGATAAATCGGACAATCAAGAAAATTCCGATATCTATGTATTTACATTTTTATTATTCTTAATTAATGATATTGACCGATAACAGATAAGCCAATATTTATTTAGCTTAGATTACCGAAACACTTGAATAATTATTATAATTGCATTGTTATGTAACAGCATAATATATGTACTATGAATGTAATAGCATAATATACTTATAATATGCATTATTTTTTCTCATCAGACTACATTTGACTTTTTATACCTGCAACACATTATAGCGTCACCAATGGCACTCACCAGGAGATAACAAACACATCACTCAAGATGGATTCCGGATATCGAACGGAACAAATAATAGAGAGTTTTAACTACCAATAAAACTTACCTATTATTTTTCCTAAAGATATCCGGAATCCAGGTAAGTTCTACCTGGTGCATCTAGAGTAGGTATAATGACGGTAAGCGTTCGTGCCTAAAAGTCATTGGTTCGCTACCCGCAAACTAGATGGCAGCACAGGCGCCGGAAGTAAGAAGGGAGGTAGTGTTTTGGACCGGAAACGTCACAAAAAGGATGATGCTTGACTCAAGATGGATTCCGGATATCTTTAGGAAAAATAATAGGTAAGTTTTATTGGTAGTTAAAACTCTCTATTATTCTATGTAAATAAGCCATATTAAAACTACCTAAAATTTATTAAACCACGTCATTTGTGAGGTAAAATTGGGATTTTCTATGAAAACTGAATTATCCTATAAATAAAATACAAATATTGCCCTTGTTATACGATCAGTAAATATTTGAAATTATAATTTAAATATCAACTTACCCACAAATGACGTCACGCACTCTGATTGGTGCTTCGTTTAAAGTAAACCGCAGGCTACAATTATGGAAAAATTCTATTTTTGGTTCTTAATTTAAGAAATATAAATAAATATTATTTAACAAAAAATTGTCAGCAAATAATCTTTTTTATCAGATTGATGTCCGATTCCGTGTTGATGTATGTTATTTTCTCCATTCGCATTTTAGGTGACAGGGGCGAGATTATTTAATTAAATATTATTCTTTGTTTGTATGGCAGTGAGGGACGAAGTCTACACAGCGTATATCTACATCGACTCCTGACCGGCGCCGGCGACGCCAAAGAAAGTCTCGTCCTTTGCAAATTGCTACTGAGACACCCAGTGTTGACGCAAGAGGTCTGAAATATTTTTTTTCTGAATTTTCTTTTACACAAAATACTTTTAAATAATCCACCAATCCCAGGTACCCTGAGATATATTTCAACTGGCTGTTTGACTTTGTCCGCGTAAATTTTAGCCTATGTCATCCGCTTATGACGTAACTTCCGTTAGAGGATGGGAAATAGAAAGACAAGGAATGAGGATTGAACAGAATCAGGGCCTGCTACTGAGTGGGGACAAGATAGGAAGCTACAAAAATAGTAAGGCCGGGCATTAAAAAAAAGCTTCCTCTAGCTAACAAGAATTTAAAAAATGGGTTTTAAAAAAGTTTCGTCGCCTATTAATGCAAACAAACACACCTTTCCTCTTTATAATATTTGTATAAATATCTTTATAGATTAGTACAAATCTTATGCTATAAGAATCACTCAAAGCCAATTTGTTACCATGTACTTCGATTGGTCCTTTTTTGTATAAAATGTTTATTGTGATAAAAGAAAATAGTACATAAAATTGACAGTATATGGAACGTTCATTTGACCAAAAAATTGCTTGCGATAGGACGCTCCGCTCTACCATATCTTAAAAATTGCACTAACATTTCATGTTAGGTACATTGTTACATTTTTATATTGTTACAAGACAAAAATCGCTTAATAAAAAATAAAAAAATCATTAAAGAATAAGGTTTGTTATTTAATGTATATTTTATGTTCGTTGGCTGTTCATTCGGTTAATTTGTATGCGGCATTAGATCGTCATCAACATATTATTAGGGGCCATCCATAAATTACGTCACACATTAGGAGGGGGGGGGGGGGGGTCGACGAACTGTGACAGAACAATATTTAGTAGAATTTGTATAGATAAACATGTGATTGGGTTAAAAAATCATGAATTTTGTGTGACGTAATTTATGGACGGCCCCTTATCGTCACCTCTAGGGCACACAGAAGGCTTGTCTATCTATAGAACCATATTGGGAAAACAAGCGTTCCAAAGCATGTATAAGTTCCAGATAAACTTTTGGGTTGGACGGTTGCTCAACCTCCGAAATCGCAGTGGATCTCTAACCATCATCTAAAAAGTATTATACTAATACTAGCGCACATGGACACATGGACAACGTTTGGACCACACATATATTTTTTTCATATGTTTCCAGGAAGTGAAATGGTTAGTGGACACCGCACCCAGTGAATCTGCTATTAACACTCTTTGGGTCGTGTTGCTCAGTCGATGTGAAGGCTGCTTAGAACAGAATGTTATCACTGTATTACAACGAGATAAGGTATTTAATAATTTCATAAAGTTTGTTTAAAGCAAATATTGAAACACTTTTGCAATTCACACCTGTATCTAATCGAGAGAAGGAATTACTTTAGAAAATGGCTCAACTTAAGAAGATATTTTTAACCAATAGACGAGAATGAAATAAGAACTGTTAATAGCTAATATTTGTAAATATATGCTTAAGTAATTACTTTTACTCGACTATATTTATATAAATTTTGACTTATTAGTGACTTCTATACCACAAACTTTCATTCCACAATTGTTTGATTTTTTTATGATCAGCCTCATAACATTAAACGTACAACGATATAAGGCAGTAATTGAAAAGTTTTTTTATATCAAAATATAACAAGTATCAAGATGTCTTTATCCTTTATTCCTAATGTTGTGTTTGTCTATTGTTTGTTTGTCTGACTGAAAATCATGTCAACAAAATCACGTCATCAGTTGGTGTGTATTACGTGATATTAGCAGACACTGCTACTATTAGTTGTTTCCTCCCGTTAAAGAAATTTACCCTTTATATCACATAATTATGGCTGTAAACTAGTCATAAATAACTATTTTCAAGAATATAATAAAATCTGTGATTTATAGATCCTAAATATTAAGACCGATTACCATTATCACTTGTTTTCTTGATGGTGCTCACCACATTACTAAAAATGCATTTGAACCTTATTGCAGCATAATAAAGTTTAGAATTCATCGGAAGCATTTATTAACATTTAGTATGAGGAAGTATTTTTTTTAGTTTTGAAGAATAATGAAATAGAAACCTTTATATGTATTCCGAGAATCAAAATTTCAGTAACAATTGTTTTATGTATTTATTAGCTTCAAATTCCTACCCGTTTGTTTGTAATTGCCGTTGCTATAAGCTTCAAGCTAGCATGCACACCAATAATCAGCAATATCTCGCTTTCTATTGAAGTGAGTGAAATGAAAGTTCATGGTATAGAAGTCACTAATTAGTCTCAATTTTTAGACAGTAATTCAAACTAATACAAATCGTATTTCTAGTGTGCCTGTTACCTACCACTAAGATCTTCTAATAACTCTTAATTTAGTGTCACTAATTATATGCTAATCAAAGTCAAAATAATCTTTATTCAAATAGACTTCTTAAAAGTACTTTTGAATCGTCTAACGTTTTTTTTCCCTATGTACAAGTATCATTAATTATCACTATTTACTTACAATTTATTGACATACTTAAGACGCTCAGACTCGTTGGTATGCTTTGTCTTCAACTTTGACAAATTCAGTTACAAACTTACTTCTGTCAAAGGCAAAGTCATAATTATGTAGTGGAAGGTATCTTTGTAAATTATATTTAAATTACTAATATAAAATAGAAAAGAAATGTAATCAAAAAGTGTTGAAAAATAAAGATCATCTTATTTTATCCTTCTAACTTTCTATTACCTCTAAACAGATGGATAAGATAATTATTTATTATAATACATTATTATTACATACATTATTATACATTATCTGTACATTTTATCTCCATTGCAGGATATTATACAAAAACAGGAGATTGAAGGGGACTTAGTCAAAGAAATGCTGAGCAGTGGACTATTTTTGAAATTGATATCATATCCTATTTATTCGTCAATAATCAATTATATTATTAGCAAGGAATCTCCCGAATTTGAAGCTTCTGAAGATGAAAATGCGTATACAGTAAAATGGGCAACAAATGAATTGGTAAAGGCTAATTTCTTAGCGGAGGCAGGTCATTTGCAGCTATTAGCAATGGGAGTACAGTCGCCTCTGCGCGGCTTCAGTCAGTCGGTGCAATTTTGCAAAAACATATTTAAACGGAAGTAGTTTAATAAATATAAATTATTGCTTATTTTAAGTTATTAAATGATTGTCTAATGGGAAAATTGTGTTATTGTCTTTTAAAAATATAATTAAATAGAATTAGTCGTGGAAACATGGCGATGGTTGTGTTTTTTCTGCTAAATAAAAAAAAAACTTCAATAGGCATGGGTAAATAATAAGAATCAGTGGGATTAGTATTCTACGTTTTTATCATTTGAAGTGAGTTTCGGGTCAGACATCTGAGTGAATTCGAATTCGGGTTTGATTTTAATCGCAGGGCTGATCCGAATTTCAAAGTTTGCCTCAAATGGATCTGCACTGATCCATTCGACACACGAATGAATCAGTGCAGATCCATTCGAACAGTGACAGTGACACGAATGCACGAAAGAATGAACTAAACAGTTCTAATCGACTGTTCGGAAAAATTCGAGCGACATCGACATCGAGTCGCGTGTCGGTAACAAAAAAGTGCACTTGTCGGCAATTGTATTTGTTTATTTACTACTGTTAATTGACTTTTGTTTTAGAATTACATATTATGATCAATGCTTAGAATGCAAGAACCGATTTTGTCATTAAATAAGTAAATAGGTGAAATGCATTGAGCATGTGTATAGAAAAAACTAATAGAACATTACGAAAATAGTATAAATTTAATTAATATTTTGAAACTTTATATAAAAATTGAAAAGCGTTATTTTGTTTTATCTTGGTACGAGAATATTATTTTTTACAATTTTAAAACAAACATTCCATATTAAAGGTTAATGAAAATCATTAGGTAATGTCTCGCGCTCTACTCCAGATCTTTTGAAGAGAAGAAGAGATTTGAAAAACATATCGTCAGCACTCAAAGATATTTAACTTATGATTAGGCAAAAGACTGCACTTAAAAGAAAGCTAAGAAAAAAATATGACGTGGCTGTATGTACAATAGTCCTTTGCCTCCCATGAGAGGATAAAGTAAAAAAACAACAATTATTGGTTAGAATTTGCAGAGAAAAGAAAACAAATTATTTAATTAATAAAATGCTCAGCGCATTAAGAAATACTTTACGAAATCCTATATTAAGACTATTTCATACAACTTCTAGTCAAGCGACTGAGAAATTTGATCATAAACGAATACCGCTTGACGATGAAGGTGTTCAGGGTGAAAAAATTGTCGATCTTGATTCAGTTTTGAAATCGTAAGTAAAACAAATCTGCTTGAGCAGTTTGAGCACTGATTAAACTTGCCATTTCAATATGTAGCAGTTGTATAATATATTTTTATAAATTTTCATAGAAAACAGAACTTGTTTCCTACAATAGAATCAGATGATATGTTGTTTGATGGAACTCCATATAAAAATCTCCCCATATGCAACATCAGAATAAGTCACAATAATACAATTTTGACGTTAACTGATGCAGCTGGAAGTGTGAAACTTATAAAATCATGTGGTATAGAAGGTTTCAAAAACGCTAAAAAAGGAACCAACATAGCTGCACAAACCACGGCCATCAGTTTAGCAACAGTAAGGAATAGATAACATTTTCATATTATTTACTTCTTTAAGTATTCTGCAGGTACTTAAAGAGTACTATAGCTAAGCTTTTATTTATCAATAAGATTGCTGCACCACAATGTAATATTTAATTTGACAAGTTCATGTACCATATATCAATGATGTTGACAATGAAGTATTGTTATAATGTTCTTTTTAAATCCACAGAAAGCAATTGACAGAGGATTTAAAACCGTTAGAGTGAAGGTCAGAGGATTAGGACCTGGAAGATTGGTGAGTAATCTCAAACAGAGTTACGTGGAATAGTTACTAAAAAAATAATGTATGATCACTTTTCTTTTAGGCAGCTGTAAAGGGCCTTCAGATGGGTGGACTTGATATAGTATCCATTACAGATAACACTCGTGTTTCATGGAATCCTCCAAGACCACGGAAAGTACGAAGGCTGTGATTTATGTGTGGAGGAAATCATTACCAATATTTATTTAGACAACTTTAAATAAATCAATATTTGTCAAGGTTTTCATTTATTCTTACATAATTTTATTTACAAGTTTAAATGTTTATAAGTCTAGAAACCATACTTAGATTGAGTTTGTCTTTTTGACATTCTGTTGTTGGCCCATTGATTTTGTAACTCTGCTTCATTGGCTTTAGCCTGGAACAAAAAATAAATAAATTATTTATATGTTACTTCATTATGTTCAAATAAACACAATGAAACAACATCTATTGAGTATATACCTGATGAGCCAAGTAAGTGATTTGATGTTTCCTTCTCTGCTGACTTGTGGGTTCATCTCCTCTTCTTTTACTAGAGGACACTCTTTTGGTGGTGTCATCCATGAGACCTTTGAGAAGCCATTCTCTTGCATCTGCTAACACTTCTGTTTGATTGACATCCACTATTTGGATTTCTTCTCTCTTTCTTTTCCCACGGGCTCCACATAATTTTAATATCTAAAGCAAATACAAACAAATTAATATTACTTTTCACTAGCTGACCTGGCAAATGTTGTCTTAATTATGAATATTGAATTTGAACAATTGTTTTGCACCCTATTTAACTATACTCATAACATGCGTTCTGTCAATTCTGTGTTAAACATGATAAAGCTATATTAAAAAAGTTAAGCATTTGGTTAATTAAATTAATCGACTTTTAATTAAATGACTTACAGCTTCATCGTCTAGTATCATTTCATTTGAATTTGAAGATTCTACATTATACCCATTTTCAGTGCTAGATGAAGCATTTGCAGAATTTCCATAATCTTCAGTAGTGGTTGGAACATTAGTTGGTAATATTTCATGCTCTTGAACAATATCTGGTTTGAAATAAGAATTAATAATATTACTTGTTGAGTTGTGATTGTATGATTTAGTAACAACCTTTTCTGTTTTGTCAGAGACAAAAGGTACTTCTGGTATATCTTCAGTTTTATGGATTGAGAAGAAATCATTATGTACTTCATCATCATCACTGTCATCAGAGTAATCTTTCGCTAATGATTTTAAATCTGAATTTAATCTTTTCACTGAAGACATTAATGGTTTTTCTTCTTTCTTTACAGAAGAAACTGGTTTCTTGGTTAGTATGTGAGGGACAAATGACTTTGTTGTACTTGTAACTGAAACAGTATTTTTAGGTTGTGGCAACATACTCAGCAGGCCTGATTTTTTCTGAAATTCAATAAGCATACAGTTTTATTTTTGTGAACTTAAAATCAAAATTAGTTAAGATGACCCCAAATTAAAATGTAACATACATACCCCATTTATCACCTTTGGTTTTGGGTTTGAAGTACTGCTGTCTAAATCTTTGAACTGAAATAAAACAAAAATATCATTCAGATTATTATAATCAGAAATGTAACTAGAGTAAAACTTAATTATCTTACATCACTTAATGAGGGGACTGTTATTTTTGTTTTTGGTTTCACAACATCATTTAGACTTTCCTTTTTTTTCAAAAACTCGTCATCATCATCTTCTACTGTTACTTTTTTCTTAGCTGGTTGTGGTAAAAGGTTGAACAAGCTGTTGCTAACATTTGGTGATGTTGCAAGTTGGGCAGATGAATCTGATTTACTTCCAGATGCTGGCAGACTTTCATGCAATGTGTCATCTGTAAAATTTTTAGTTAATCAGTCCAATCATGAAGTTAATAAAATATACAAAGATTTGTCAACTCAAATTTAAAAACAGTACAAGAATTCATTACAAATGCTTAACAGTACAATTTTTTTGTTGGAGCGTATAGCTAAATTAGCTAACTGATATTACAAAACATTATCATATTAAAACACATGAAAAGGAAGATTTCGAGTTTTAGACAAATAACATTATAACATAAAAAATATCGTAATAGTTGTAAAATTAAGCAGATTCACTTAACAGTAAACAATCAAGTAAGGGAATACCATATTTATTCATTTTATCAGTTTCATTCTCATTTTCTTCAATGTCGCTGGAGTCACTATATTCGTAAGAAACTAAAGACATTATTTGAAATTCAAAGGACTAGCATTTGTTCTCAAGCAATATTTTCTTTTTATTGCTGGTTATCAATGTTTTTAATTAAATCGTATGTAACCTATGAAAACAAACAAAAAAATTTTTGATGCGTCAGATATTCAGTCACTTTACTCTTTGACAAAGAGAACAGTAATTACTCTTTGAGTTCCGTATTTTTTTTTCACTATGGACTCGTTCCGTTATACACGGAAAGAACAATGGCCATCTGCCTAACATGCTTGGACTAGTAAAATCGAATAAAACGTAACTTGATGAAACATATGTTATTTTGTTTGCCCATGCAGCTAGAATAAAGATAGAAATTAAATATATTTTTAAAAGCTGGGAGTATCGAGTAATTGTGTAATCTGTTTTTGAGGCTATGTCGTATTATTTAAACTGTAGCATTTTGAGTTAGAGGTATTACAGTTGAAATATGTAAAGCACACGTCAGATAATGCCTAATACTTCAAAGAACAATGGTCAAAATGGACTACGATAAAAAAGTTCTTGTACCAAGATGGGACTATCATCAAAATGTATGTGATTTATTTTTATATTTCTATAATAATACGAAGAATAAGACAAAAGTGTATATATTTTATAGGTAACCTACAAAAGGTAAAGATATTACTTTAATGTGTTTCAAACTTGTTTAGATACATCTAAGTGCGAGTTGGACTCGCGCACTGTGGGTTCCGTAGAAATATTACATTCTAATTATTCAAGTGCATATTCAAGTAAATAGTGCATATTCAAGTAAGTAAATATTCAAGTGCACAGAAACAAATGAATGAGCACATTAAGTCTGCGTCAGAGTTAGTTGATTTATGCAACTATAATGTAGAGCGATATGAGTCTCATCTGTCTCATCTATCTCTCATCCTATAGGTACAACATACAATACATGCCCTTTCAAACCAGCATTGTCTTATGACTCAAAAAGTAGCAAAACAATAATGTTTTCTGTCAAGCTGGGCCAAGGTCTTGGTTCAGCCGTCAAAAACAAGTTAGCACAAAATTTCATAAATATTTGTTCTCCAGGTCGATCATTTAACAATATAGTAAAAAATCTGAGCAAAAATGAACTAGATAGTGCTACCACTTTAATTATTTTGTGTGGTGATAGCTCATCATCATCAATACAGGGTCATATAAAAAGTATTGATAACTTACTAAAATTACAATCTGAATCAAATTGTAAAATGATAATAAGCAGCTTTCCATATGTCAAAAACTACAATAAGGAACAAAACATGCGCATACATAAATTAAATTTGACATTATATAATATGATATCTCGTCATAGTGACGTTATTTTATTTTTTGATATTAATAAGTATATTAAAAAAATTAATCTGACAAAAGATAATATGTATCTGACTAAATCATGTAAGACCGAAATAGCTACTTTGTTAGCTTTTAATTTACAAGATTCTGTTATATATGATATAACACAGAATAATTTGTGTATTAGTAATTCTACTAATGTAAATGTTAATTTGACAAATTCAGTTTTAAACTGAAAAGTAAGACAAAGGCTAAATACATTAATATAATGCATCAAAATATACAGTGTTTGGCCGGCAAAGACTTAGAATTAGAGTTATTTATTCAATCGAACGATATACAAATAGTTTGTTTAACAGAACATTGGCTGCAACTCAGTGAAATGTCGTTTTATTTAAATAATTTTCATATGCAAAGTTCATATGTACGTCGGGGAGCAAAATGCGGTGGATCATTAATATTGGTTAGTGATATTGTAAAATCTAAGGAACGAAAAGATATCGTAGAATTAACGGTAGAACGAGATATTGAACTTTCTTGTGTAGAATTAAGTAATTTAATCATAGTATGTGTATACCGACCCCCCAAAGGTAATTATAGTGTTTTTGAGTTAGTGATGGAGGATGTGCTTAAAAAGTTAGACTCAAAAAACAAATTTTTAGTTGTATGTGGTGATTTTAACATAGATCTTCTCAAACCCAGTATAACATCCGATCGTTTTCTCTCTTTGTTCAAATGTTTTAATTTAACAAATCAATTTCATGAACCGACAAGAGTGACTGCGAATTCAGCTACTTGTTTGGATAATATTTTTTCAGAACGCAACCCAACAAACAAATTAGTTTTTAATAATATTTCATCTGATCATTATGGCTTGAAAGTTACTTACGAGATAACGGTTCCTAATGAACCTAAAATAATAGAAGTTAGACCATTTAATAATAAACGTATAAATAATTTTCAACTAAATATAGATGAGAAAATCGTGCAGATGTCATGGTCACATGACGACCCCGATATACTTTATAATTACCTTTTTCATCTCATAAAGAATGAATTCGATCGAGCTTTCCCTTCTAAAACGAAGAAAATTACTACGCAGAAACTACTGTTTTGTGACTGGGCTACGAATGGTATTTATAAAAGCAGAAACAGGCTATATGAGTTGTACAATCTTAGAAAGTATAACCATTCTGAAAAATTCATAGATTATGTAAAAGCTTACTCTAAATTATTCAAAAAAGTATGTGCATTGGCGAAGTCAAATTTTATTAGAGACAAAATTAAAAATTCCAATGATAAAATAAAAACTACTTGGAATATTATCAATCGTGAAACTGGTAAAAATAGACCACATGACGATGTATTGGCGCTTACTTTCAAAAACGAGCTTATTAAAACTCCTGAACTGATCGCCAATATTTTTGATGATTTTTTCATAAATAAACCGATCGAGACAACTTCTAATTTGAATTCTTCGCCAGAGGCAGCAATGGCTATGCTTAGGAAATGTGTACCAAAATGTGATACCTTATTTAAGTTCAAATATATTGATTCATTAGATGTTATTAAAGGCTTCAGCTCAATAAAAATAAAAAACACTCGTGACTTATGGGGTATATCAGTGAATATAATTAAGAGTATAATTAGCGTCATTGCTCCCTATCTCGCTGATATTTTCAATCACTGTATTGATGAGGGTATTTTCCCCGATCTCATGAAATTTAGTAAAGTCATTCCTCTTTTTAAAGCTGGTAATAAACAGGATCCTAGTAATTATAGACCCATTTCAATTCTACCGACACTAAGCAAGATTTTTGAAAAACTTATTCTGGAACAATTAATATCCTACTTTAATTCCAACGAACTTTTGCATACTAAGCAATACGGTTTTACCAACGGTCGTTCGACAACAGATGCGGGTGTTGCGCTACTAAAGCATATATTTAAAGCATGGGAGGGATCGCAAAACGCTCTTGGAGTTTTTTGCGATCTGTTCAAAGCCTTCGATTGTGTTGAGCATCAGACACTGTCGTTTAAACTGAATTACTACGGTATTAAAGGTGCTGCTCAAAAACTAATGCCGTCGTATCTTAGTTCCAGAACACAAACGGTAGATATAAACGGTGCGAAGTCGTCGGGGTCTCATGTAAAAATAGGCGTTCCCCAAGGTTCTATCTTAGGCCCATTTCTGTTTTTAATATATATAAATGATTTGCCATTTTTTGTTAAAAACCTATGTGAGATCGTGTTGTTTGCAGATGACACTTCATTAATATTTAACATTGACAGAAACAAATATAATTTTGACGATGTAAACAATGCTCTCTCACGAGTGTTATCTTGGTTCACAGTTAATAATCTTCAATTGAATGCTAAAAAAACCAAATGTATAAAATTCACTTTACCTAATGTAAAAGTAGAACCAACTGAAATAAAACTCAACAACGAACATTTAGAGTTAGTAAGTTCAACAAAATTTTTGGGCATAACACTAGATTCAAAACTGCAATGGAACCCGCATATTATATATTATATTAGCTGGTAAACTCAGCTCGGCTGCATATGCCATACGAAAAATAAGACAAATTACCGATATAGAAACTGCCCGGACAGTGTACTTTAGTTATTTTCACAGTATCATGTCCTATGGCATTATATTGTGGGGAACGGCAGCCGATATTCAGTCTATATTTGTTTTACAAAAAAGAGCAATAAGATCTATCTATCAGTTGGGCTCGCGAATATCTCTTAGAGAGAAATTTAAAGAAATTGGAATATTGACGGTTGCATCTCAATTTATATATAGTTGTATACTTTTTGTCCGGAACAATATTAATGTGTATACCAAACATAGTGATGTACACAAACTTAATACTAGAAATAAAAACAAGCTAGTAATGCCTTCTTACAGGTTACAGAAGGTATTAGGTTCTTTCATGGGTCAAGGTATACAATACTTTAATAAGATCCCCAGTGATGTATTAGATTTGCCAATAAATCATTTTGAAAGTCATATTAAAAGTTGTCTACAAAGTAAAGGGTATTATACCGTTAAGGAATATCTAAATGACGAAAAGGCATGGTGTTAGATATTTTAACTTTATTGTATTTACTTTCTAACATTGTAATGGAAAGTGACTTCATATTTTAATGAAGTCACTTTTCAATAAGACTTCTCTGTGTGAAATAAAACAGGCAGAAAAAAAACAGCCCTTGCTGAGTTTCTTGCCGGTTCTTCTCAGTACAAGGTCTCCCGCCGTAGTTTTGCGAACCGATGGCGTAGTTTTCGACTTTCTCAAGTGCTCTGTAAAAGCCTAAACTGAATAAATAAATTTTGATTGATTTGATTGATTGATTGATAATACCTTAATACTTGCTAACTTCTAAAAATAATGAGGAAGTATTTAAACAAAAAGAAAGCACTAAATGGCGACTCTAGCAAAAGTTGATTTTTGCAGGAAATGAATGGACCAAAAACAGTCATTTCCGTTCCTTTTAACTAACATATTAAAAAACTGAAATTTGAAAAGCTTAAAACTTAGATATCATTACAAATACGAAAAAGTACAAATAGAATTTGAGTTGCTTATTGAGTTTTAAAAACTAATTTACTTTTAAACTTGAAAGAAAACCGGAAAGGTTGTCGTGGAGAAATCAAGAACGTACCGTAGCGACATCTAGTTTGATTTCGGGAACTAATGTTTTTTTAAATACTTCCTCATTGCAAAAGTTAGGTTGCTGCTTTCACATTTTATCTCTTTGCAAGCAATGATGCAATAGATAAAGGGTTCGTCCGTTAGCGGTTTTTGTAAAGGGCCCGCATGCATAGTGTGAGTGATGTTAGTCAAACACTAATACAAATAAGTACGAAAATCACCGCTCTCAGCATGCAGGTCCTACGAGGGTCAAACTGAAAGTTCTTAGAACTGGCCACTTATAAACAATATAATAAAAAAATAATTCTAAAATTTGAAAATATAACTCTTTGCCAATATTACTGAGTATATATTTCATTCATTTGTCATTTGTTTTACGATTTGGCGGCAAATTGAAAATTGTCTGTGTCACGTCATCATGAATTTAACACGAGAAAATTTTCGTGCAATGATTTTTTATGACTTTCGATGTCATTTAAGTCAACAAGAAAGTTATGATAGACTACGATTGGCCTTTCACGATGAAGTTCCATCTCGTGCGACTGTTTACAACTGGTTTAATGAGTTTAAACGTGGTCGCACTAATCTCACTGATGATTTACGTGAGGGACGGCCTTCTACGGCGACGACTGAAGATAACATCTGTGTTGTGCGGCGTATGATAGAGACTGACAAAAGAGTGACCTATCAACAGATTCGGACAAGCTTAGGCATCGGTATGAGTCAAGTGCACAAAATCCTCCACGAACATTTAGCGGTCAGGAAGCTTTGCGCCCGGTGGATACCTCATAATTTGACTGAGGCTCAAAAACTCCATCGTGTGGATTGGTGTCGTAAAATGATTGAAAGATTTAACGGAGGTGACTCAAATGCTGTGTTCGACATACTAACAGGTGACGAAAGCTGGATTTACTGTTATGATCCTAAAACCAAAAGACAATCTGCTCAGTGGGTGTTTCCTTTCGAGGAGTTGCCAACTAAAGTGAAGAGAGATCGAAGTGCGGGAAAAAAAATGGTGGCCTCGTTCTTTGGAAGGATAGGTCATTTTGCAACAATTGTGTTAGAGGATCAAAAAACAGTTTCTGCAGAATGGTACACTACCAATTGTTTGCCACTTGTCTTGGAAAAAGTTCGAGAGAAACGACCTCGCAGTAGGATCCTCCTTCACCACGACAACGCCTCGTCGCACACCGCCAAGCGAACGATCGACTATTTGGCGACATCAAACGTTGAATTACTGGGTCACCCGCCGTATAGCCCCGACCTCGCGCCTTGTGATTTTTATTTATTTCCAAAAATTAAAGAAAAACTTAAAGGAAAACGGTTTATGAATGCTGAAGAAGCGGTGGCTGCGTATCGCGATGCCATTGAAGAGACCCCTAAGGACGAGTGGGCAAAGTGCTTTTCCCAGTGGTTCCATCGCATGCAGCGGTGTATTGACGTGAATGGACAATATTTTGAAAAGATATAATAAAACTAATAACTGGCTAATGTAATCAGTTTTTGATTTTCTAAGAACTTTCAGTTTGACCCTCGTATTGAATAATGTATATGAGTTTGCACTAGTCAGGTTACCAATAACAGTCAATGACCGTCTAATGAAAATAAGTACAAAAATTGCCGCACACCGCAAGCGGGCCCTATCGACCAACGTAAATGAGCTTGCAGTAATGTATAAATAATAAAAAAGGAAATTATTTTTTCTTACAAATACAGGAAGATGGTTACATGTTATCGACTAAACACAATACAAAAAGAAGACCGCTTCCCGTCTTTGTGAGGATCCTGCTGGTGTCTGTAAGGGGCGATAGCCTGAATATGACTATTTTTGCATTAAATGACTAATGAACTATGATGGTAATTTTAAATCAACGATAGTCAATGATCGCCTACTGAAAATGAGAATAGTGGATTCTGATTATACTGATCTGTAATTTGTCGAATTACAAGGTACTCCTTTGTAAAAAAATCCGAACTACCCCCTGTCTTAGGCAGTACTCTATAATCCGACAAATTCGATAGTCCGACACTACCCTGCAAAACGTTTGTCGGATTACCGAGGGTCCACAGTAATAATTTAACGTAAGGAGAGTATGCAACATCAATTTTCATCATCTTTCTTCTTCTTCAGTGTGTCTCTACTGTATCAGTGTAGGCTCCTTCAGCATTTTCCTTTATCTCGGCTTTGAGTTCTTTCCAACCATTTGGTAGTTCACGGGGGTGTCGCACAATACAAGAATTTCTACCAAGAGAAATTCTCTACCCTTTGCACCTCAACTCCACTCAACTCAAGTTGAGCAACTCTACGGAAGATGGTGGTTTACAATCTGCAGGAGATAGAAAGAGTCAGGAGGAGTCACTCCTATTGACTAACGGCTTAGTGATCTAGGTACGCTCAGACAAGGAGTGATACTTTAGGGTTGGTAGCGGAGGAATCTCAGGAATCTGGAGGATCCGTCCGAGCAAGATGGACTACTTCTCACCTATCAAGACTCCTTAGGCAAGCGGGTAGGTATGGATAATACGTCCAAACCCTACAACATTATGGAAAGTCAAATTTAAAAACTAAAAGATATGCTTAACACATACAATAAAAACATAAAAAATAAGAAAAGGTGTATTGCACCATCAATTTTAAGCGACTTACCCTTATACTAAAAGTGGGTGGTGTAATTAGAGATAGGGAGTATTGAACCAACCAACGGTCAGACCAGATATTTTTTTATTGTTTGTATTACAGATTTTAAGAATTAGTTTGGCTGGATTATTTCCGTCCCGAGTCATTATTAGGATAAAATGTAATAAAGCTTACTTTTATAAATTGTTTAGCTATCCTCTTGCTAGAATAAAAAAAAAATGTGTAAAAGTCAACGGGAAAACATGTCAAAAATTTGACATAATCATAATTTCCAATAAGAGTTTAGTTGGAATAATGTAGGTATTTTTAAAATTTTCTCAGTCTGACGTATTTATTCATAAAGGTTCGCGAAATTAACTTTACGTAAGTTCTGTCTTCTGGCTAAGATTGAAATAATTTATCAAGTATTTCATTCAAGAAATTTCGCATTGAAAGAATGACATGAATTGTGTAAATCGAGGTTTTATTTGTTTTCTTCGGTGCGCCTCTTTGATATTATCAAAGGTGTGCCTTTAGTGCTTTGAAATACGTTGCCTTTTATTATATAGGTGTATTAAATTGCTTGTATATTTTACGTTACTTACATTAGACAATCATCTTCTATCACCATAACTATTAAAAGAAACATGCCGAAAAAATTTGCGGGAGAAAATAGCAAAGCCGTAGCAGCGAGACAACGTAAAGAAGATGCTAAACAAGAAAAAGAGCAAAAGGCAAAAAAAGTTATAGAAGATGCTCAATGGGAGGACAATGACGATAAATTAAAAAAGAAAATGCAGAAAAAGGTAAAAACATATTCGTCTCACTAAATCAAGTTTGAAATTAAAAAAATAAATCTCTATTTATTTGCATGTCATAATTACATTGATTTTTCTTTCTGTCAATAGGAGGAACAAGAGAAAAAACGCCTTGAGCAGTTACAAAAAAAAGCTGAATCAAAAGCTTTACTGGAAAAAGAACTGGAATCAATCAAGGGGAACACCAAAGCACCTCCTCCTCCAAAGATTACTCGTGCACAAATTTCTCAGGCTAAAGAAAAAACTATCAAAGCAGAAACTGTCAAACCAGTGGTGGGTGGTGTTATTTATTCATATCATTTGGAGATATCTTTGGTTTTCAATGAGTTGACTAGATCAGTGGGCTAATTCTGTTGTTTTTGTGATAATCACATCTCAAAAGAATCTCATTGACTTCCATTTTACAATTTACCTACCTAAAGTCCAATTTATTTATTAATGGAATGTCTTCCTCATACATATATAGTGTGACAGATATATACGACTCAGTTGCTCTTTTTATCACAGCACATCAGGAGTAACAACTTATTGTCAGTGAGATGACAGAAGTAGAATATTTTTTTTATAAGCATATTTCAATCATCTCAAAATTTTTAACTTTCCATGTCCCATTATAATTCTCTCGTAGCTCCTACATACATGTGTACTATATAAGTATAAAATAAAAAGATGTTCATGTTGGTTTTGTCTACAGTGACTTGAATACTTACCGTTTTGACTGTACTAATTTGCTGATTAAATAACATAGAAGAGATAGAATTGAATATTTATTTTTTGTTGGGGAAATGTTTTAGCTTAGTATAATCTTTGCATTAAGGTATTAACCTATTTTTCATTATAATTTATTGGCCTTTTTATGATTAATTTGCCTACTTTGGGCATCCTCTTAATCCTATCTAGATATTGCAATTCAAAGTGTTTCATAAAAATTTCAGCCTTCACGGGTGGTTGTTGAAGAGCCGCCACTAGAAGAAAATCTCAATAGAATACATCTGGAGGGAGAGGTTGCACAGTCTGTCGATGAGGCCATCTCAATACTCAGGTTAAACTTTATATTATTTATACTTAGGTTGATTGGAGTAGGTAGATTTAATTAGGGTCATTGATCTGGGACATAATATACTATAATATGGATAATCTACTGGAATTAAATAATTATAATATATTTTTTCTGGAACAAAAAATTGAAGCTTCAAAACAGGGTTTTGTAATTTTCTCTGATTGTATGTATGTATGATCTCGCTCAGGGTAAAGTAAGTAATGAGAGGTTAGAACTGCTACCATCACAGAGAATGTTTATCCAGTAAATATATAAGTATGTTTAATTACAGATGAAGTTGTCCATTTATAAGTTAGAAGTAAGTAATATGGATAGGGTATAACTTATCTTATTAAAAAACAAAGAAATAAGAAAACAATAAAAAACTTCAAAAATCATAATAAAGAGAAAGAAAAGTTTGTGGTATTATTTCTCTTTGCTGTTGTTTCTCTTGATTATGATTTTTTTAAGTTGGTAAATTTTTTTTAGATGCCTTATGAATGTTCTTCTTTCCATGATAAATGTCTATGGTTATGCATATGTACAAATGGACTACCAAATATCAATCTACATATTGTGACCCACTGCTCATGACTGTATTGATATGTGACTAGTATTATAATTTTATTTAATCTTTTCAGTGACCAGTCAGATATTGATAAACATCCTGAAAAACGCCTCAAAGCGGCATATACAGCATTTGAAGCAACAGAACTCCCTAGGTTGAAGGCTGAGAACCCTACTCTTAGATTATCGCAACTTAAACAAATGCTAAGGAAAGAATGGCTTAAGTCACCTCAGAACCCACTCAATCAAAAAGTTTAGATTACTTTGGTTATTGTTCATGTCTATCTACTCTTAGTATAGTGGCACCAATGCATGCATTGTTTTATAATATTTAAAATAAAAAAAAATATATATGTAACTTGTATTTTTTAATCATGTATATTAAGTTGTTCTTATAAGAGAAAATTAAATCCCATTATTAAATCCCACTGTGTGTAGCTATTAAAATTCATTTTGGCTCATTGTTATACTGTAGAGGTATACCCTTGCGGCCTGTTTGTGCAGGTTTTACTTCAGTCTCACCTAATTTTTGTTCTAATCCTTTCCAAGATCTCTCATGAAGATTGTTTCCAATGTTTTCTAATGCCCAGTTTTGTTTCATTTCGAGTTCCATTTTAGATTCCTGGCTATGCCCAACTTTAGTTTCCCTAATCCTTCCAGTAATGAGGCTGACATCTGTTTCTTCCTTAATATTGTCAATTTCACAATGGTGTCTCTTACCATTGAGTAAATCATCATAATCTGTGACATGAGTTGTAAAATATTGATCTCTTTTGGAGTTCAGAGCTACTTCTAATTCATATGGATAGACAATAGGTTTATAGAAATCTCTATTGCTATATAAATCATTTTCTGGGCATGCTATCATTACATATATATCAATCTGAAAGGTACATTAAATAATTATTGAATTGAATGTTTAATTTCAAAAGAACTTATTTAAACAATATAATCTTACTTCTGGGAAATTTGCTAATTTAGCAACATTTGGTTTTCCTACAGATACAATGTAGTTTTTCTTGCCATTAATGCGGCACAATTGCTTCATCCTACTGATAATTTCTTTTGTCTGTTCACCAGCCAACTTACACACTAGAATCCCAACAACTTCAGCATCCTTACATTTTTCAACCAAAAATCTTCTGCGCTTCATCCAACTGGTTTCATCTATATGTTCCAATTTATTCTTGTCGGGGTTGAAAAGATACCAACCTTTGGCTGTAGAAATGAGCTTTTAAAGAATATATTCTGGTAAAAAGTATTTAACCATCTAGACAAAACCTTTGTAACTTAAAACTATGTAACAAATATAGATTTCAATACCTAGGACAGAGATAGTCAAATTGAATATAGTTTGTCCCCTGGAACCAATAAAAATGCAAAAGCAATCCTCTAGAATATCCACTGAATATGTTTGGCCTGTTGCATCCTGAACAAGCCGTCCTAAGAATCTATCTTTATGGTCCACTTTTTCAATATAAGCAATGTAACTTCTTGGAAAACATTGAAACCAGATTCTCTTTAAATTATCTGCAACCAAAGTAAAACTTATACAACTGATACTAGTTTTACAACTTCATAACAATGTCCTTATCAAAAACAATGCTTATATTTTTTTATCATCAATAAATTACTAAATATTCTGTGAAAAGGGAAATGTTATGATTCTGTTGAAAATAGCAAATATGATATACCTATGGTAATAACATACCTTTACAATGATCATATTCTGAACCATAAAATAAACAAAGTTTGTTATTCTCTTCTGCCTGTTTGTCCTCAGTGATACCTTTCATAACTTTATCAACATTCAGTAGGGATTTTGGTAGTACAATGTAAACAGGAATATTTGTTTTGGTAAAACAGGTGTGGCCATAGTGAACAACAGCATCTGATTTCACATGCATTGCAGCAACAGCATCAATACAACAACTGCCAAAACAAAAGGTTTCAGAGATAATAAGTAAAAATAAATAATCAAAAATATATTGATTTATGAGAATATGTTTAAAAACTTGAAAGGAATTTGAATTTACCTAGCATATGAAGTATCTCCAAGTATGTATAAATCAATATCAATTCTCTTCTTTATTTCTTCATACACTTTGGTACTCACTGGCAGCAGCTCATCAGGAAATTGAAGAGAAATCTGTAAAATATATGAGAGTGTAAAGTTTTCTTACCTTATAGATAAATATAAAATTAGTAGGTATTACAAATCACCTTCGTGAAATTATGATCTGATATCCATTTGCAAGTTTCCTCGATATCAAAACTTGATGATAAATCATTAAATTGATGTGGTTCCACGTTAATCTCACGACCGATACATAACTGGCCATCTGTCGTAAAATTTGCCATGTTTTTTCTTCCTGTGAAACTATTAACTACTTACTCAAAGACAACTTACAATGGTGTAAATTTATGGATTATCGGCCCCTACCACGGGTATGAAAAACAACTAAATATAAATTGTAATGGCTAAACCATATCAGTATAGCGAAAGGCTTCTTCTTTTTTAGGCTGCTTTCTTATGTTACTTATCTATCACACAGATTATATAGTTTATTCGTTGTTTCTGATTATAACACAAGATTCTTCTTCTTCTTCTTTTTAATTATTGGCGTTTCCCTTTTGGATTTCGCCAAAATCCAGTGTTTTGCTCAGTTTAGTTATGCTTCTAATATAAACTCTATAGATTATATAGCTAATGTACTCTGTGTTATATAGTTTTAACTTATCATAAAAATAAACATTTGACACATGTCATCGGGTTCATGACAGTAAATAGGGACTACCAACTAAATCGAGAACAGATTACACGATTATCGTCTATAATGTGAAATATCGATTTGTTTGTGTGTCGTAGATGTTTTTTTAAATGATAGTTTCATCATTTCCACTTCTAAATATGTTTAACACCAAAAACAAGATGATTTGACAAGATTTAATATAAATCCTTATCAATTGAAACCAGTATTTCAACATAAATGTTTAAATATTTGTTTTTTTTTGATAATTCATTACGATTCCATTCTATGATTTGTAGGTAGCCCACACACATATAACACATGTTGCACAATTATTCAATTTATTTATTTATTAAACAATATTTACATAAAATAACTGTTTATTATTAAATCATTATATTAAACACAAAATTAAAAGTTATCTTAATTATCTATAATCAATATATAATACGTTTCAAATCTATTATATTGTTTTTTCAGTACATTGCAATAGAAACAATAGAAAAAAAAGAAACAAACCCAAAATCTTTGTCACTATTACAATTTACTATTGTGTAGTAATCTATTTTACAACGAATAATTCAATAAAACAAAAATTGACAAAATGTCAGTTATTATTTATTGACTCTTCATGGGCGATATCTATTTATATACTACAAATTCAATTACTATAAAACACAACAATATTTATACATTCATCCAAATATTTATCCGATGACTTGACGCGCCCGTACGTAGTGTTGAGGAAACGCACATGCACAGTTAATACGAAGTAATCCTTTATTAAATTTCTTTTTTATTTGTGTAATGGAAAATGGAAACTAACATAATGAAAGTGAGCATAGAGAAAGTTTTTTTAAAAGTTATGGAAATCAATAAATACTGTGAAATTATTATAAGTGGCATTTAGTTTATGCTAAGCTAATGCATGAATGAAAAGGGCTTATTAAGTAATCAGCAACAAAGGTCATAAAACCGACAATTAAATTAAATAAAAATCCGTTTATTATCTATATACTTACCCGATATGTATCAAATATACTAGGTATTCGTACAAAATAACGTGACTTCTAGCTAGAATTACGTTTGTGCAAACAAGTTTTTCTTTCGCAAATAAGAATAAAATAAAACTATGATTAGTAATTAAATCTTATGTTCTTAAATAAATTCAGCAATGAACAAGAAACGTCCATTCGAAACGAATAGCAAGGTAATAACTTTAAATTTCAAAATCACAAAGACACGAACAGTTATTATACTATCGCTATTGATCTTGCATGTCAACGTCGAGCCAGATATTATGTTAATTCGTACGGTGGGTATGTGCTTTTTTGGCTCTTCTTACTCAAGCTAATCTAGAAATCACCTATAATAAAAACAAGCTGAATTTAGCGCTCCGCTTTTTGTTCTTGATTCCAAACCTGAATTTGGATGAACCGAGTCAATGAGGAAGCACTTAAAAAAAACATTAGTTCCCAAAATCAAACTAGATGTCGCTACGATACGTTCTTGATTTCTCCATGACAACCCTTCCGGTTTTCTTTCATGTTTAAAAGTAAATTAGTTTTCAAACTCAATAAACAACTCATATTCTATTTGTACTTTTTCATATTAGCTTACTTTTGAATCACCCTATCTATGAAAAAAAAACCGCATCAAAATCCGTTGCGTAGTTTTAAAGATTTAAGCATACATAGGGATATGAGGACAGAGAAAGCGACTTTGTTTTATACTGTGTAGTGATAACATAATGTTGCACGCTTATTATAATAATTTCCAAACGTTAGTTGAAAAAAAGCGTTTAAGTAATAAGCAGTTATTAAAAACGCTTATTAAATATCGTACAACGTAACAACGCTTAAAAATGTTAAGCAGTTATTTACACCTGTATGAGCAACCAATAAGTTGGCTCATCAAGTCATCACTAACGTTGACATAACAACCACACATCGTTCCTTTACAAGTAACATAATTAATAACCTAAACTTATGATTCAAATAAATTAAAATTAATTTGAAATTTAGATTTTAAAAGAAACCTGAAACAATTGCATATTTATTAATTTTATATACTCGATTTACTTTTATAACGTCAGTAACAAAATTTGAATGAATATCATAGACAAGATCTTAACATCGCATACATACTTCCTCATTAATATTTTTATTTTTTTCACAATCGCCCTTTATTCTAAACTATTTAAAATATAAACTAAACTATATATATAAAATACTATAGCATATTTAACATGCTACGAGAATAAATCGTTAACATTCGCATCTACGCATTGACTGCCAAGATCGGCTTTGCGCGCGATTGTATTAAACGTGCTGCGAGAATAAATCGTTCATACGTGCATTAACGTCTGCGCCTACTCGAATACTGTCTGCACGGTAGTGGGCGCTTTTGATCGTTGTGCGTTAACACGCTAAATTCTAAACGCTTAATTACTACTAGCGTGTTAAGTTAATACGCTAAGTGGTAATTTAATCACCTTAAAGCGGAGAATTCACTAGACAGGCATGCCCGCGGGCAAGTCTGTCAGGCGTGTCCGTCGTTCACAACACACTACAACCAACCAACCAACCAACCCAAGAGCCAGTACAAAATGCCTTTTAAGGATTTGTTGCCTCCTGTCCAGCTGATTTCTTCAAGAAGAGCATCAATAAGCTACTGTTGTAAATCAATATTGTATTGATTTTGTTGTAGGTAGTTTTTACATTTTTATAATCAATAATGTTAATTAAGTGGAGGATACTTCTGGATTGTCACTAGACTGGCTACCTAGCCAAATAAACTAGTGTGATTCTAATTACGTATATTATTTATTACACAAAACGTATTAGCTACCAATGCATTGGCAAAGATGCATTGATTGCATGAGTCATTACTTTGATTAATCAACACATAAACTATGAGTCCTCTCTCACTTTTCATAATATGATATCTTTAAATGAAATGAATAAAGAAGTGCAACAGAGCGACTAGCAGTAGTTAATGGGTGCTAAATTAACTACTGATACGGTCAAAACTACCTTACATTTTAGTGAAGAAGATGTAGCGAATGTAGTTAGCACTATGGTGCGCGGTAAATCACCGGGTCATGATGAATTGACTGTCGAGCACTTGTTCCACGCAGGCGAGGCGCTCTGTTTGAAAGTAACAAGGCTGTTTAATCTTTGCCTTAAATACTCATATCTGCCTCCAAATATGATGAAAACAGTTGTAGAACCGATTATTAAAAATAAAACGGGTGATGCGAGTACAGCTAATAACTACCGTCTGATATCTCTAGGTACGGAATGCTTAGTGTAAGTTTTTTTGATGTTTACGTTCACTGTCGATCGTGAGCGCGTTAAGATTTTAGTATAGAATCCGGTACAGCGCCTCTAGCGGTAACTACCAAGAAGTATAAATCTCCATACAAATTCATAACGCGCTCACTAGTGAACGCGTAAGCGTAAAACTTACACTTACCACTCTGTATTAGGAAAAACTTTAGAGCGACTGTTGCAGCCCGAAGTGTCGAAAAACATACAGATTGACGATGCACAGTTTGGTTTCCGTCCCGGAGTCTCTACGGATTCAGCTATTTTAACCGTCAAACATACTGTTGACTATTACGTACGCCGGAAAACATCTGTATACGTATGTTTTCTGGATCTGAGCCGCGCATTTGATCTAGTGAATTATGATATTCTCTGGAGAAAATTGCGCGGCACAGATGTCCCGGCTGAAGTAGTGGATTTGTTCGAGCATTGGTACGGAAACCAGACTAATTATGTAAAATGGGGCGACGCGACCTATAGTAACTACAAGCTAGAATGCGGTGTACGCCAAGGAGGGTTGACTTCTCCGGATCTCTTCAATTTATATGTCAATGACTTGATCAAGGAACTGAGGGGCGCTGCCATCGGCTGTCACGTTGGTAACGTTTGTGTTAACAACTTGAGCTATGCCGATGATATGGTGCTCCTCAGTCCCTCGATCAAGAGGCTCCGTAAAATTCTTTCGATTTGTGAGCATTATGCTGATGCTCACGGTTTGAAATATAACGTCGCAAAAACAGAAGTTATGGTATTCAGAGCAAGGAAAGGTCCGGAGAACATACCAGATGTGTTTTTAAATGGTTCGGCACTTCGGGTGGTACAACAGTTCAAATATCTCGGGCATATTATTACAGAGAATCGAAAAGACGATCTCGATATAAAACGAGAGAGAAGAGCACTATCTGTTCGTTGTAACATGCTCGCGCGCAAGTTCGGTAAATGTAGTGATGAAGTCAAATTAACTTTGTTTGGCTCATACTGTCAATGTTTTTACACTTGCCAGTTATGGTCCAACTATAACCGTACTTCCTACAGCTCCATAAGGGTACAATACAATGACGCGTTTCGTATCCTTATGAAACATTCAAGATACAGCAGCGCGTCGAGCATGTTCGCGGACGCCCGTACAGCGGACTTCGTTTTGGACGAGGATATGTCTTTCTGATAATAGCATAATCAGAGCCGTAAGTTGGAGCTTGGACAATCCTATATATAAGTACTGGATTTCGGTGCACCAGAGCGACAACAGAAAATAATGTTTGACAATGTATAATACTACTGAATTTTATTTTAATAATAATTATTTTATGTAAGTTTTATTTTTACTTTTACTTTATTTTTTGGAAATTATGTATTTGACTGTATATTGGATTTTTTATGCCTTTCAATAAATCACTATTATATTACTAGCTGTGCCCGCGACTTCGTCTGCGTGGGAAGTATTTTGGTAGATTATTCTTTTTTCCTATGAATGCAGACGAATCGAATAAGATCAATGGGCAATGGGCCATAACCTACTACGCGGGCTTAATGCAGATCGGTGGGTGTTAACGTTGCTGATGCAGCCAGGACTAACGGCTTAACGTGCATTATGCCAGTGTTGTGCACAGTGCTCAAGATAATAATGTTTTGGTCACCCATCCTGTAAACGGTGCTTACGAATGTTATTTTTCTATTTTTTTCTCGTTTCTCGCGCTCTGGTTGTTGTAATGCTAATTTGCCTGGAAGAAATCGCTGGCTAGCGATGAGTTTGTCGTTTGTACTTATTTATGTAAAATAAGTATTCATGTATGTCTTTGTTGTGCAGTATTTACTTACTTATTTAACTGCAATTTAAACCCAATGCGCAAACCCACTACGCCATCGGACCCCGTATACCTAAGCTATAAATATTATAAAGAGGAAAGATTTGGTTGTTTGTTTGTTTGCATAGAATTAGCTCCAATACTACTGGATCGATAGTTGCAGAGCGATTTCGACCTACGGGAAGCTACATCAGACGCGCAAGTCGTAGGCTATAATTTTGCGGCAAAGTCGTGGGAAAATAGCTAGTTCATTATACCCTCTGAAAACTTATCTGCGATACGCCTGTGGAGTATGAAGACAACACGGGTTGGCGATAATCGAAACTACTTTCTCGATCTCTATTGTGCAAACTGCGAGCTCTTTAAGAGACCAAGCGCATTTCCCTATCAAAAGAAGTTTCATACTCATACCATACTGCATGTATGTAAATGCTTCAGATTCAACTTTATAGTGCATGAGAATCGCGATGGGCAGTTAAATACGCTTCGCGTTTTTCAGGTGTCTTCCGAGACCGAGCGCTTTCTGTCTGATCTCTTTCTATGTCTATAAAAGTCGGTCAGTACATGTCTGACGGAAGATACGTGGAGTTTTATTTGTTGATATAAAAAAAAATATATACATATTTTAATTTCGACTTTCCACACTCGAAGGAAATGGTCTACTAACATACTTCCGTGAGGTGCTTTAATGAGCTTCTGTCAGATTTGAACGGCCCTCATCATCATCATCATCATCATCATCAGCCCTTTTTCGTCACCAACTGCAGGAGCTCAGGCCTTATTTATGGATGGTTAAAGAGGATGGGCCACGACCCTCCATGCTGGCCCAATGTGGATTGGAGGATATTAACGACTGCAAATACAACCGGGACCAATCGCTTTGCGTGCTTTCCGATGCTTGAGATAATATGTTTTGGTCAATCATCCTGTGCCCGACCTTTGCGAAAGCTGCTTAACAACTACAATCATGGGCCATGGCGCTTATTCACTACGCCACCGAGCTACTCTGAACCGACCCTCAGACTCGCGTAATATTATATGAGTGTTGTGACCAATGAATAAAGCATTGTTTCCAGCGAAGACTGAAAATACCAACTTTGAAGTACGTATCTACAGCAATTTGTATGTAAAAAAAAAAAACAAGAAGTGTATTTACATAAAAAAATAGCAATAAGAGAAAAAAAAATATAACTCGAGTTGTCTTTACGTTCTTAATTTCAGTTGACGTGAATCTAAGTTTTTTAACGTTGTGGAAAAACTTCTGACATTGTCTCTGTTACCTGGCAAGCAACAGGGGTGAATAGGATTCTCCTCCATGAACCCGACAGTGAGCTGCTTGGTGGGTCCCCAGAGCCTACCCACCAAAACCCGTACTCTACACCTTCTCATGGGAAATGAAAACCGGCAAGCTATGGCCGAATCACCAGGACACTCAAGTAATTAATTTCCAATTTTTCATCTGCAAGGGGACCAATGGTTCAACCCCTTGCAGATGAAAAATTGGAGAGACTCGGGTAAATCGAGTGCCTCTCCCAGACAGACGAAACCGTGCAATGCGGGAGCGGCTGCCAACCACCTCCGCTGGCCCCGACGACGACGTGAACCTTATCTGATAAAAATATGCGTTCACTGTAAACTACTCGAGGCTTAATTGCATCATCGGAAGGCTCTTTCCGCTTTTTCTCCTACTCGCGTGATCGTATACCACTTGTCCATTATAAGCTGAACCCTATTTAACATGATTGGCCATATATAAATGAGGTCAACTTAATTCGGATTTTTCAAAATTTTGGAATCTTATTTTTTTATTTGTCATCTTACAAATTATCATTTTATAGACAATATTAATTCGTAGCTCGGTGGCGCTACGGATATGCGCCGCTGCGCACGATCGCTATTGCTAAGCAATTTTCGTAAGAGTTGTTCACGGGATGGGTGACCAAAAATTATTAAACAAAGGCCTGAGGCCCTGCAGTTTGGCTGTGAAAGAGTTAATGATGATGATCTATATATCAAAGACGAAAATGTAATAAAACAGTTAATATTTCATAGCAATTTTGGCGACCACGTCACTTCAAATTGACATAACTTTTTTATTTGTGAACCGATTGAAATAAATCTTACACTAAATGTTAACGGAAGAAAGCCGCAATATAATAGTGGAAACTGCATTTAAATCGGTTTAGCCGTTTCTGAGATTATCGTGCACAAACGCACAAACGCACAGACAAACCGACAAACAGACAAAAAATTTAAAAATCATTGTTTTGTGTTCTATTACTCTTATAAATGTCCCTCATAACAGTTTTTTTCATATATCTTCAATGTACAGACATCGATCGGTTAGGTTTTTATTATAGTATAGATAGATAGAAGAAGAGGATATATTATTAAAGCATTGTAGGGATTTCATATACATAATCTATTTTTATAAAGTCTTACATGACCTGGTCGATGCTCCTTTTCTTTTGGAAAAAGTATATTTTCGGGAAAGAAGTAAGAAGTAGTCGTAAGAAAGCACTTTTTGCTTTGAAAGTGACTAAAACTCACTACAGAAGCAATAGTTACATAAATAGAGTTTGTACACTATACAACGATAGATTCAGTGATATTGACATTTTTGAAACATCCTTAACTGGGTTCAAACGCCACATCGTGCAACTCTACAATTATTTGGATTAAGTGTATTTTTATTTTATAGAATAGGTACTCATTGATGTTAAAATCTGATTGCAATCATTATAATAGAATTGGAACCTCTGTAATACCTTATATGCATGTATTTAAATAATGTCATAAACTATTGATGTCTTCATGAAAACCTCTCAGTATATTATTAATTTCTTGTTTTTTTTTAATGGCCTGTTGTGCACTGCACATACACATATCTGATGGAAATGCTTGAGTAGGTACACTTAAATGTTGTATTATATTCTTTATGTTGATCTTTTATGTTGTTTACAGTTTCTTTATGTTAGGTTTGTAAATGTATGTGTAGGGAACTGTAGGGTTATATCGTGTTATGTTTTTTTTTGTTCATGTATTTTGTTGAAACCATTTGTTCCTTAATAAAAAAAAATTATAGAAAATAAATGCTTCATTTATTTCATGAAAAACAGCAATTTCATAGGTAAAGATCTACTATTATTTTTCTTTGTTTATGAATTATTTTACTCTTTGGTTTATGAACTTGTGCATCATAGCGTTTAAGAGCATTTTAGACTCGAGGCACATTAAAAGTAAGCTCATTTTCTTTGTCTTTTTTCCTATGTTGTATTTTATTACAATATATAGTGCATTTTAAAAAGCCTTATTGACTTAAATTTATTTTTTGTTTGTGACATATGTAATGGTTACCATAATTTACTTGATTCCAATTAAATTTGAAATTGAACCAGTACCTGACTTAAAAAACTACTTTCAGGATGTGTTAATTATATGTTGAATATATATTATTATTGAATTGCACCATTGCCTACCTTTGACTTCTGTGTTGGTACACATTACAGCTGGCATTATTTCTTGTCATGACTTACACTATGCTTATTGAATAAAGCATTTATATTCCCTAATTATCCTTAATCAATGAAAAAAAATTGTGAATTATGGGGATGGTGCTTGTTGCTGGATATATCTATCTGGATACTTCCATAGGAGAATGTTGGTGATGAAAAGACTAGATGTTCTAGTATCACTGGAGTTATTATTATTATGACATTAAATTATAAAAATATAAATCCTATCCTTTAAAGTTTAATACCCTTCATCACTAACAGTGATAGTATATTCTGGGTAAGTATCTTTGATAAGTTTGGCTGTTACTTCATGGTCTGCCTTTCCATAGCCTTGAGAATATCCATAGATGTGGATTTTCTTATTATCTGGTTCATGTGATATCCTACCACCACCCAATGGTTCACAATCTAATGGTTGAAGTTTTTCTTGAACCTGAAAACAGATGAAGTTATATTAAACCTAACAATATTACTATGACAAAAGAAAACTAATGATTATTATTGTGTCCTTTAGAAATAACTAGAAAGATACAATTTATGAGAGCAATTTTTTAAAAATGATTTCATTTATTAAGTGGAATACTTTGTAGGTATACATACTTCATCATAAATATCAGAATGATAGTTGCATCTTTTATATCCTCGAACTATAATCACAGAGGGTTCTTGTTTATTCTTTTCTTCATCATAAACTTTTATTAATATGTATTTAAATACTCCAGATGGATCAATATCCACCTTAGGCACAGTACTGAGTGAACAGGAAGACATATTTTGAAGATTTCTTACAGAGTGATAAACTGTGAAAATAAATTTGTGCTTTTAACAGTAATAATAATCAATTGTTAGCCTGTACAGGATATCTAACTCCATTTCAAAATTTATACACAAAGAGATAGAAAAAAAAAAAATTGTTTATTTAATGAACTAATTGGACTTGAAAAACCTAAACTTCCTGTCACAAAAAGCTTGCCTTTACGATGGCAAATATTATGTTATTAATAAATAAATATGAATACTTATTATCTATCAATCTTAAGATTGTTATCTAAGCTATCAATATCTTCACGATGTCTTATTCGAAGCACATAATATAACTATTACCTACAATTTTTACCTTTATTGTAAATACGAAATTGATTCACTAAAAAACTAAGGCTTTTTTTAGAAAATGTAATCATTCGTATGGTGAATTTATAGGAAAACAGAAAAAAACATCTTTAAAGAATACATTTAAAATTTCTTCTTCTTAATTAATGGCATTGCCCTTGTGGATTTCGCCAGAATCCAGTGTTTCGCTGAGTTTACTACCGTAAGCGTTTTAGTGAAAGAGACATATCACTATTATTCGATATTTGGGTCCAGAGGGTTAAAACTACTTCTTTCAAACAAAGCAAAACATTATGCTTAAAATAATATCACACATGTCACTAATATCACATGTGATGATGTGAAGATGCCTATTAAGGAAGATGCACTTGAATGTCAAACATTTCCTCTTTCAATTTCATTCGATATAGGTTTCGACATGTTAATATTTTTCGTTAACATGTAGATATTGACATATATTGATATTTGTGGTCGTCGATATTTCGATATTCTTTACCCTAGTGTCAATGTGAATGATCGAATATCATCGCCATCTTTAATTCATCTCATTTTCATTTTACATGTAAAAATTAATTAATTTACTTGATATTGGCAGAATTGTGCGAAATGCGCAGATAAGCCATTATAAAGAAGAAGAAGAAGAAGTGTCAGTGTCAGTGTCAAGCACAAGTGTCAACTGTCAAGCGATGGCTGAAATTTGATATTTTGATTTTGGGATTTAGGCTTTGGTATTTGATTTACTTTTCATAAATTAGACCTACATTTTTTCTAAATTGGCAATACAATTGTTTATTGAAGATATCAAAATGGATACTAATTTAACAGGCAAGTATCTATAATAAACAGGAGGTCAAATCCATAAGCAGTGTGTTTTTTCTGCAGTTATTTATTGACTGATTAGATCTCATACTTTAGTCTATTACAATCATGGACCTCAAAAATCATCTGGATCTTATTCTAATGTTTATTAGAATGTTATTCTTTTATTTTTCGAGCTTTAGCATAAGCTCTGACACTATATAATTTCCCAAGGTTAATGTGAACAGGTGTTATTAGTTTTATCATCTGTGAGTTATTTAATATTTCTTTTTGATGTGAAAACGGGAACCAGCTATTTTTTGGAATAGGTGGTACTATTGATAAGTATCTGTTTCTAAGCGTCTCAAATGTACTTTATTTTCAGGCTTGTGGGTGAGCTTTTTCACAGCAGCAGGTATCCCCTCAGATGTAGCTGCCACATACGCACTTACATTCACAGAAAACCGCATTCAAAATGATATGTTACTGGACCTTAACAAAGAATACTTGAGAGACATGGGTATCACCAGGATGGGTGATGTTATTGCAATTTTAAGGTAAAACAATTTGTCATTAAATTCAAATGTCTTTACTTACCTTGTCGGAGATGAACTAATTACGATTTGCCAGAGTTAGACAATGCAGGTTAGTTGGGCTCTTCTATAGGATAATTTTTTGTTTTAATAATGTAGACAGTATATATTACCCTCCAATCCGCATTGGGCCAGTGTGGAGGGTCATGGGCCAGTGTGGAGGGTCATGGCCCATCCTCCTTAACTATCCATAATAATATATATCTAGGTGGTGGAATATATATCTGTTGTAATATATTATCATTATATATTTTTTGAAACAATCCTATTGGTTAATTGTCTAATTTTAATATGTACCACAATGCCTTCCAATTTGACCTTTTAAAAGATTTACAAACTACCATCTATAACTATTTACATGTGACAGCGATTGCAATCATGACTATTGTAAGACATTGATTAATATTAGTTTGACGTTATTTGGAATTGTCTAAGCAAAGTGCTAAATGCTTGAAAGCTATTGAAAAATGTAAACTAAAGTTGTATGTTAACTCAAAAAAATGTAGACAGGTATATATTGACACATATTGCTCAGATCTTAAATTAATTAGCCAAGCACCTGAAACCAGCGTGTGAACCAATCCACCACCAAAGATTATCAAAACGTATCATGATAATTTTTTATTATCTATATCATTGTTTGTATTTTAGGCACGCCAAACAAGTACATGAGAACACTGCGAGGGACAAGGTCCTGAACACTACCTTGACTACAAACAAAGTGCCTGTTGCTGCAATAACTGGACGTTCCACCAGTACACAGCCCTCATCACGTAAGTTATTAAAATTAATGTCAAAGTAAAGTAAAAGTATCAAACTTAATGTTACATAATATAATAGAGGTTCAGTTTTTTTACACCTACTATACATGCACTACATATCAATGGTGACAACCTTGTTCAACATGAAAAATCTGATATATTTTTTGATAGTATTATTATATTACTTATGATTGCTTAAGATTTCTTAACCAGTATTGGCTGTGTAATTAATTAGTGAATATGGTGACTATTATTATTGTTAATTTCTTGATATATCTATTATTCATGTATACCATTATTCAGTTTTTATTGTGATATTGACATACTTTTTAATTGTAATTTAAAATTAATCAATCATCATTGTTTATCTATTGTTTTGCTATTTTTGATTTGCTGGTGTGTTGGATGTTATTAGTCTGTAAGTCAGCATGTTTTAACTAAATAAATAAATAAATTACTTAAAAATACAAGTACATCAATTATATCTAAAGGTATGAATGTAATTTTTTAAAGTTAATATATTTAAGATTAAAATAAAAGTGAATGATCATAGATAATATTAAAAAGCAAAGACCATTCTAATGATTATTAGTATGCATGAGATCAAATATCATGACTTGACTCTCAGTTTTAACTGCATAGTCTGACTGTGAAGTTGAAAACCACACTAATTCTACATACCTACAGTGTTATTAATAAAAAGATTTAGCATTGGAGTTACACTGAGACTGCACTTAGTATTAGTCAAAATTCATATTATTAAACAAAGACTTAGCAAAGGTGAACCTAATACAAAGTTCTATGGAATAATATTTATTCCTAGAAGGTGGTATTATTACTAATAATAAAATTGCAATTTTAGTGTAAATTTACTCTAACGCTAAACATTGTTTCTTAATAGCACTACTAATGTTTAAGTTCTACAGTACAACTGTACAGTTAATTTACAGAACAAAAAGTAGTAGAGTGCATAATTTGAAGTTTCTATACAAATAATTATTTGAATTTTATAAGGTTCTTTTCTATGTTACTATTATGATATCTTCAGTGGAATGTTATTATTAATTGGTGAATAACAACGCTTAATTAATTTTGTATCAATTCTATAATTTTTAGCGGCGAGTCGCATATTAGAGCACTACACACGCAACTCTCCAACTCAAGATACTTCACAAGTGACTACAAAAAAGAGGAAACTTGTTGAAGTTAGGTAACTATTAGACTAAAAAAAATTAATTTTCTCTCTCCTTGTTAGCAATATAAATAAAGCAGTCATTTATGAACAGAATAGGACATGAATGAGCATGTAATTTTTATTATTTTTTTCTCTATCCAGGCCCGGATCTACAACTTTTTCCAACCGGGGCAGAGATTTTATATTCCGCCCTTACCCCTCCCATCCGAACGTATTTTTTTATACAATTCTTAGGGACTTTGAAAAGATGTCTGTCTCATTGTAGCCTATGTGTATGAATTTATTTTGAAATATATTTTGTAAATCTTGTTTTTTACTGTAAGTTATCATGATTTTGGCATACCCTTGACAATGGCATCCGGGGTAAGTGCCCCCACTAGATCCGGCCCTGACTCTATCTGTATATTTGTGATACTCAGTTGAGCATTATTCTTTTTCATTTCCTAATATTAGAGATAAAAACTACTGAATTTGGGTCTGAACGTGTCTTGTGTTTTATATGTAATATGAAACTTAGTCTAGGCAAAACAACATTTTACAGTTTTTATAATAATGGTTTTAAATGTCATATAAGGGTTAAAGTTAAATTATCATATTATTATTTTGTTGTGCATCTCGTCATTTTGGTCGCAGAACATCAGAATAAACAACTATAAGTATAATTCCACCTTGCACACTAGGTCGATTACCCGTCGAGTCGCGTGCTCTCTCAATCCGTGTGATCCGTGGCAACCTTAGTCAAGACCAAGGCTGCCAATCGTACTCTCAAATAGCGTACTGTACTCTATATCATAATCTCTAAAATCAATAGAGGACTCTAAAATACTCTTTAATATTCTATGCTCTAGTAAAATGTTAAATAAATGAAACTTTTTTATAAGTCAATATTCTTACTTTATTTACTTCTTCTTATAAAAGTTTTGAACCCTACGCTTGATGGAATTTTTGGCAGATATATGCTGACTAGGGAATGCAATCCCGCAACAAAATTTTAATCCAGGTATTTGTGGGACTGAGAGGTCTTAGACCCGCAGAAATCCTGGTGATTGCGGAATCCCGCATGTTTCAGGAAATCATCGAGAAAAATCCTATGTCATAAATGCATCTAGAACTACAAAAAGAAACAAAAGAACAGTATTCAAAATTAAGATTATTAAAAAGATGAAAATGCTCGTTCTGCTTCCACGCTTGTGGGTATAACTATTAATAAAGGGTTGTAGGCTTTTTGATATTCGATTTTTAATCAACGAGACTCTAACAAATTTATTTCTTTATTTGAGAGAATGTGCTCCAGAATGAGTGCGACAAATAGTTTCAAAACTGGATAGAGTTTGTTCATCTCCAAGAGACATTGGTTGAGGCTCCGAAGTTTTAACTTACATCATTGTGGCTACTGTAGCAAGAGGTAAATCACCATGAATTTCATTACTCACGCGTTTTCGCGAGCCGAACAACACATGGCATTTACCGCTAATTCCGCGGGACCCCATTCGATTTCTGTGCAGGACTGGTTCCTCAAAAAATATCCTGGTATTTCGGGATTCCGGTATCCCGGTATTGCATTCCCTAGTGCTGACCCTAGAAATTTAACCTATATACTATATATGCTTTATAATTGCCATATAATCTGATGATTCAAGTTCTGTGTGACTTTTCACAGAGCTAATGAGGATGCCAGCGTAAAGAAGGCGCGTCTCATACGTTTTGCGAGCCCATCAAAGTCACCAGTTGAAGGTAATTTGATATTAAATTGGACTTTTTTTGTGACGTTCTGAAAAAAGGGGAAAAAATTAAATTGATTTTAAAATAAACATTTAAAAGTTCAGTTTTTCAATTGGTGTTTCACTTGACCTGAAACATGACCTGCCTTGGTTTCACATTTCTCCATCTATCAAACTAATGTTCATCAGTTACCTATCAATTTGTAGCAGAGCCATAGATGGCGTTATTCTTGTCTTATTTATATCATTTTATTTCTAGTAGATCGTTAGACGGCGCTGTTTCTGTGTGATTGATATTTTTTATACCCTATTCGGTTATTTTGTTTAATCTATTACCAATTATTTTTTCAACAGTGGCACCAGCTATTGTACACAACAAGCAGACAGTATTTTCGAGGCTTGGAAATTCCGAAGCTGTTATAGTGGCACAGAAGAAAACCACAAGCTTGGCCCCAGCTAAGCCAATTTTTGCTCGTTTGGGATCTAAATCGGAGAACGTGGGCAGTCAAACCATACCGATTCATAGAGATGCACTAAAATATGAGGGCATATTGAAGAGTCAGCCGGTTGTTAAGAAAACGGTGACAGTGACCGCTGCAACAAAGAATAATGTGCGTCGGATCGCAGTCGGCACAATGAGAGCGGATCAAGTGCCCGTCAGCGTGAAGGAGAAACTCGCCATAACTAAAGCTAAGTCTGTTAAATTTGCTAATCACGTCGAATACAAAGAGATAGAAGGCATTCAGAAAAACACACTAGTCAAACCTAAAGTAGTACATAAGCTGACACAAGTGTTCAATAAGCCCGAGAGGAGGTTGTCTATGCCAGAGACCCCAGCGGTTAAAGCCCGGTTAGGTACAAAGAATGCTAACAATTTAACTATTACAAGAAACGTGTTTAATAGGTTAGGTGTTTAGCTTACGGTGTAGTATTTTAAGTACTCTGCTTTTTTTCTGCTAGAAGTGTAGGTCCTGTTTTTGTTTTTATTAATGTGAATGTTTCAAGTATTGGTTAAAAAAGCTCGGTGGGTGAGATGTTGAGATCAGCTCCAGCAGCGGCGGTGTCAGCTATAGGTTCAATTTAATAAAATACAAATTCAAATATAATAAAAGTTTATGTCACTGAGCTGTTTTCAACCAGATCACTGATGGTGTGAATCTTTTTTATATTTTTGCACAAATCATGACAGCGTAGTGGAAATGAATCACTAGTCTAGTTTTCAAAAACATTGCATTAACAAAGTATTTGTTACAACGTGTGAGAACAAATAACATACATCAGTAACTCTATTAGACAAAGATAGAAGTAATATAATACACTTATAACTAGACACGGTAGTGACAAGGATTGAAAGCGTTTTCATTCATACACTCTTATTATCACACACTTTTATTAAGAGTTATGATATTTCCTATAAATCCATAAAGAAAGCTTGCATTCCAGAAGTGGGGACATAAAAGGCCCCGTAATAATGCATAAAAGGCAGTATTTCGAAATTAATGTAGTGGTATAAAATAATAAATGAGGTTATTGTTAGCTTTCATTTAACTGATGTGGGGACACTGTCGCCCTTATCACATAGGTATGACGTCATTAATAGGTATATTTCTATCCTTGTCTAAACGAGATATTGATATATTAATTCTTTACAAATTATGGAAATATTTTTTTAAGCCTTAATTTATTTGAACTTCTAATGTCACGCATGTCAAAAATTTGTATTTTCCGAAAATCGTAATCATTTTTCAATCATTGGATGACACCAAAATTTTCTCCGCCAGCTGACTCTCATACTAACTACGCGATTTAAGATCTTATTAACTATTATTATTTTAAAAGGAAGAAATACTCTCAATAAATGAATTGAGGAACGTTTGCGCATGATTCTCATACGGATTTTGTTTAGTCATTTGTCAGGGTGGATACAGTCTTGCAAAAGCTCTTATCGTTAAGGTTCAGCTTCTATCATTCTGTTTAATAAAAGCTAAAGTTTAAATGTTACTTGTTTAATTGATAGGTGTTTTTCTTTTAAAAAATATACGTATCACACTTCGCTTTGATCTCTGTGTTGTATGGTAATAAAATAATTATTTAATTGAAACGGTTTTATTATGAAAAAGAGTTAACCAGCCGTCTCGTTCACAAACAAAGGGACATAAGTGTGGTTACGATGTGTATGTTATGTCACTTTCCTTCATTTGGAAATAGGCAAAGATAATTTACAGAAATGTTCAATAACAGTTACGCTTGACAACTTGACAGTAATCTGAATTGGCTGCCCAGACACATTTATGTATATCTATTATGATACTCATTTGTTGGTTAATTTATAAATGAGGTATATTATTCGTGCACCAGAACAAGATATTTTCTTTCTTTTCTTCTTTCTTTATCTCCGTTTTTTGTGTATAAAAGGGTCAGTTTAAACTATACGACAAATAACTTGATATAATACAAATAAAAAATTAATGTTGCTGAAAGGCTGTACAGATAACATTGTACAGGCTTGTACAAACCTTGTCTGATTGATTTTGTGCCTTAATTCTTTCGAAGTAGAGTTTAAAATAGGTTTTTTTGTCGATGCTGATATGAAGTTATGATTTTGATTGTCTTTTAAGCGCTGTAGTACGATACAATCTTACTTTGAAAAATTTTTGAGAAATTTTATTTAATATCATTTTGACTGGAGAGATAGTTCACAGTTTTTGATAATAGATAGGATTATGTTATTTTTTTTTATTAGTTTTGACTATTATAGGTAATAGGTAATGGACTACCTATATTTTGTGTTGGATAGCTGTTCTTAATTATTATTATTGACTTGATAGAATATATTTGATTTAATAACTTGTTTTTTTTTGACATTGCCAAACTATATAAACATTCGTAATTATAAATTTGAACAGTTTTAATTACCTGTTTAGTGCATCTTTTTAAATAAGAATATTTTATTGCACGAAAGCAAAATAAAATTACATTACAAAAATTACAATAAAAATTAATACCTAAAAGATTTTTATATTTTTTTGCAAAAAAAAATCTATTTTTCTAATTTGTGTTTCTTTGTCTGTCAGGTATTTTTTATTTTTTCGCAATCATTCAATTACGCCGATATATTGAGCTAAAATGTCACATAACGTCACGCTTTAACATTTTCAACAAAACTTGACTTGATGTTTTGGTAGTTAAGCCCAAAATTGCATTTCTACCATATTTTATATTCACATATAGAGTAAGTTTGCAATCAGTGCATATTTTTTCCTAATTTTTAGTATCGATAATAGACCGTATTTACGAAGTTTTTTTTTAAATGTTAACAATGAACAGTGCCACTTAAAACAAAGTTTAGGATCAGAGTAAATTTACGCTAAAATTGCAATTTTTAGTATTAGTCCATATTCATATTACACAGAGAATAAGCAAATCTACTACCTTCTAGGAGCAAATATTACTCCCGTAGGACCTCGTACTAGGTTAACCTTTGTTAAGTCTTTGTTAAATAATATGAATTTTAACTAACACTAGGTACAGTCTCAGCGTAAATTTACTCCAACGTTAAACCTTATTTATAAGTAGCACTGTTAATATTTATCAACAAATGTATGTGTTTTAATAATAATAAGCAAATTGTAGGTATATTGACTAAACTCGTTTATCAATATCATAAGCAATATGTTGTTTATATCTTTATCTCCAAAGACAGTTGGTAACACAGAGAAAAAAATGTGTCTATGGTTTACAGTTATGATAACAATATTATTTGTGCACTGAATACTAATTTTTCCTGTATAACTTTGTCATGTATATTTTTTTATTTGTACACATTGTCTGCATGTTATTGTTGGAGAATGAATGGGATGTTGCTTAGTGTCAGGATACCGGATGAGACTGACATACTAGCATTTACGTTTTAGTATGGAGTTTTAATGTGTTTAGATGTTATAAAGTCACGTTTAAACAAACACTTTTTATCAAGTGAAGTCATCCTTTACATCTGAAGATGTATCTTTCTTCCTTTTTTAATTTTAAGATTTGTAAATTAGATATAATATTTTTTACAGATATTGTAAATAACTAAATTGAAATAAAAAGTGAATAATATTATTCTTTTTTATTAGTTTTTTTATAAAATAAGGAGTCCTAAATATACTATAAACATGCACCGTCTCTATGTCGGAACGTGATTAAATTTATGGTGTTCGCAAATTGAAAAAATAATTTACGAGGAGTATACAGGGTCATTTGAAAAATAATCGGCATCCTCTCAAAACAATAATGGTTGATACAGGTGCCAATTTAAGTTTAACTGAAACTGGAACAAAATTATTTTTCAAGTTTTGGTTTCAATGTTTAGATAATCCTGACTGCATTTATAAACAGTTACAGTATTCGAAAGATAGTCTGATAATGCCAAATTTATTCTTATATCCATCTATTAGTCCATGACTGGTTCTATTACCTTACCAATTTGAGCGTAACTTAAAACGGAACCAAATTACTTTTCAAATTTTATTTTTAATGGTTAGGTTACTAGGGCAGGCGAAAAAACTGACATTGAAAAATATTTCATCAGGGCGTCGATATAAAACGATAAAGATAACATCTGTATGATTGTCCTTTTTTGCGGATGTCAAATGTTATATGATTCGAGAGATGAATTAAATTAAAATTGAGTTCAAGTCTAAAACCTAACACAATAGTTGTAAACAATCACTGAGATTTTTAGTTTCAAAATATGATAGGAACACAATAGTTGCAAAATTAGTATTATTTACCATTTTCGGCAGTGTATCTTGTATAGCGCCTTCGCGTGAATTACTTGTTTTGTGACAGTAGTGTAGTGACCTGTAGGGATGTTCTATGTAGCATAAAATTTATTAAAATCAAAATATAACGAATTATCAAAAACAATAAAAATATTTTGTGAAGTTGGTGGTGTTCGACAACTAACCCTGTATAATTAATGAGGAAGTATTAAAAAAAAAACGAAAGCACTAAAACACCTCCACTAGATGGCGACTCTAGCAAAAGTTGATTGTTGCAGGAAGCGAATGGACCAAAGACAATCATTCCCGTTCCTCTTAAGTAACATATTAAAAAACTGAAATTTGCAAAGTTCGAAACTTAGATACTAATATGTACAGTCGGCCACGAAAGTGGTCTACCACCCTATACTCCATTCACTATAACATTAGAAAAAAGAGGGTCATAGAAGCAGCAGTGCAGAACATTTTATTTTCAAGATAAATTTAAAAAATCTATATTAGTTTTGTTGAAACTTTGAACGTTAGGTAGTCTGAAAGAGCTGGGCAATTTTCCATTTTTTATGATACCTCGGGGTTGAGATGAGGCCAGCATTTTATAAATTCATCTTTTAGTCCCAAGCCAACATGGAATTAAAACTGAAACTATCTGTGTGTTTTGATAAATTCTAATTATAAGTGTAAAAGTTAGACTATTGATAAAGACATTGGAAAAACTCCCTGAAATGTCAAAGTTTGAGGGTATGTATGGGGGCTTAGAGCGTAATTTTTGTAGGCCACTCGGGCCTGTACCGGAATCGTCCATATTTACCAAAATTTAAACCCAAAAATAAAACAATAACATCACGGAAAACGGCTAAACAACAAGAAAGGCAGTAGCATTCACAATCGGATGATAATCTAGATTACGATTTTAACAATTATGAATACATTATAGTCTGACAAAATAAAAAGCTGTACTACCGAAACGCTTGAAGGGGTTAGGCAACGTTTTAAATTTGGTAGAGTTATAGTGACATGAGAATCGTGCCGAAACTATCCAACCCTGCTTCTTTAGGTTCTTTACGATGGACACTTTTTATTGTAATAGTTATTAAATCATTTAAGTTAGTCATATACTCATAAATATGTTTAATCGATAGCTTAAATGACAACAGCTAAGTATAGCAGCTGGTATTTAAGTGGATATGTAGCAAATTAGCCGTCAGTCTTAAGAGTAACATGATTATTGATATTTTGTCACAAAGTATACCATAAAAAGAACCTTATTTCACTTCTGTCTAATGCTATAATGAATGGAGTATAAGGTTGAATTTCGCGTGTTACGTCAACTAACAACAAGGTTGATTTTCCGTAGCATTAATTTTTTGACACGTCAAGTTCACGTCATTATTGCTATCTTCATCATTTTGACGTAAGCTTTGACAGTAATTATCTATACCTATAATAAAAATGTAACAAGGTTACATTTGTAAGATATTTTGGAAAAAAAATATATGGACGGCCTTCATAAAACTAATAGAAGCCAAAAATATTTTTTTTTCTGTCTGTCTGTTTGTATGTTTAAATACTTTAGATTTAGAATATCGTAAATAAAGTCTTATAGTCTACAAATATCCTACATTAGAATGTAGATTAATTATATTTTAATACAAATAAAAAAAATCAGTAGGTAGTGAAATGCTATGCGTAAGAAGCTATGCGTGTTATAGTACTGAATATACTGAGATAACGGATAACAGAAATGAATAGCGACGAAAAACATATTGCGCCGACCCATAGCTTAGTGCGAGACAAGGGCTAAAACTAGAAGAGATAGTGAAAATGCTAATTCTTTGGTTGTTAAAAAATATATACAATTCTTTTATAAAATTATAATTCTTAAAATCTTGTATAGCCGCCGTCTGCCTCTATAACAGCTTGGAGACGTTCCCTCATCGAGCCCATCAGTCTTGAGCAGATATCAGACCCACGTGTTTCCTCCCAAACCTCATTGCAGTGCCCTTGTAGTGCTTCTGCTGTTCGTTCATTACGGTTACACCATCTCTGAACCATAAGACCCCACATATTTTCAATAGGGTTGAGATCTGGCGATTTTGCAGGCCATGGTATCAAGTTTATTTCCGGATGTGCATCAAACCAAGCACGTGTTACCCTTGCTTTATGTAAGGGACAGTTATCCTGTAAATAATTAAATTGACGCATTTCATTTTCTGGATAAACGTTCCGGACGGATGGCAACATAGCATTTTGGAGAACATCAACATAATCTGATGCCGTTGCTCGAGGTGGCAAAAAGGTCTTGTCTCCAACACCATCAGCAGTCATCCATCCATACAAATTTACCGAGATACGACCCGATTCTCTATTTGGCACGACATGATTTTGCGTGTATCGCGTTTTATTGAATCGCCAAAGGTGAAGACGCCCGTGTTGACTGGATTTAAAAGTTTTCTCGTCACAGAAAACAGTGTTACTCCAATCAAAATCCAAATATTCTATGGCGAAATTTAATCTGGCCATTCTATGAGCGTTAGTCATATAAATTTTCTTTGCATAACGCCTGTGATGTAAGCCCATGTAATGTAAATGGTTTCTAATGGTTTGGAGAGTCACGTCAAATATGTCGGCAAAATAACGCGTTGGTATAAAGCTAGATTTCTCATAACTCCGTCTCATGAAGACTCGCTGA